AAAAAAAAAAAAAAAAAAAATGGTTTTCTTGACCACAATTTATACTAATTGTTACTCTATATGATTATAGTTACAAATACTGAACATTTCTTCCTCAGTGCATGTAAAATATACAAGAAAAATGTAACTATCATAACAAGCTCTTTTTCTAAATAGAAAACCTGAAAAGAAAGATCACCTTTGTTCCTTGTCTCGAAGATATTCAAGGTAGCAATAGTTACTGATTCACTGTATATGTATAATCTATATTGAAAGTATTCGTATTTAAAGACCAAAACGACAAAAATATCCAGAATTCAGATGCGTGTCTGGGTACTTTTGCCTTATTTGCGTTTCTTCTTCCTCTGTTATACGCTCGGCAGATTCGAACGAGAGCCGGTCATAACACCAAAGGAGGACTTGAATATGCGTTTACATGAGGCGTCCTCGCATTATGTCGTTAAGCGGCGTGAAACGCATACGTATAATATGCGCGTTACACGCGTAAAACCCGCCAGGATGGGAAAACTCTGCCGCGGCGGCGGCACATCGTTAACTGAAGAAAGGCTCGCTCGTTCTCGGGGACAAGGAAGGAGTAAAAAGACAAAAAAAAAATGAAATTCCATGAGACGCGATACGTCCGTAGACATTGGCGTGAATATCGGCGGATATCTAAAAAAATGTCAAAGACATAACAACGCGTCGACGTATCGACTGCAACTTGGCGAACGACAGATTCATTATCAGATCGCAATTAACGTCGAAGCGACGCCCGGCCGCAGGAGCCGGCCTGTCCTCCTCGTCAAGACGATTAGATACAAGAGACCGAAGTTACGAGACGATATTTTGCGGTAATCGCGCGTCTAGGTAGAAGGTAATACTCGATATCTCACGGCAAGTATGCATTACAGATATAAATAAACATTTGCCGCGAAGGGAGAATGAGGAGGAGAAGGAGGAGGAGGAGAAGGAAGAGGAGGAGGAGAAGGAAGAGGAGGAGGAGGAGGAGGAGAGGAGGAGGCGGCAATCACTCTCCTGCATCTAACGCATTCGCGCGTGAGAGTATACTCTTCTGAAATCGCAGAAATACATATACATGTACGTGTGTGTGTGTGTATATATATATATTATATGCGTAAAAATTATATAGAGCTCCTTTAATATTCCTCTGAGTTATTATAAAAATTATTATTATATAAAACACACAATAATCGAAAACATATCACATACAGATAGCTTCCGTCTTTAGAACGCGCAGACGAACATAGACGACGTGTCCTTACTTTACGGTTCTCCTTAACCAAGAAATTATTACACATTACGCTTCTCCCTCCGTCGTGTATAACAGCGCACGTTTATCGGTATAAACGACTAGACATTGTTGCGACATTGTTGCTTTTGCAGATGTGGGATAGGAAAAATTTGTTCTTTTTTTCGTCTTTCTTTTGAAACATTCCTGAGAACTCGGCAGTACTCGAATGAAAGGTGCTGTACGGTGTAAATTCGAAAAAGATGCACTCGCGAGTCGGTGAGACACGCAAAAAGGCGATCGCGAAGTAAACGACGCAACGTATGCGACGATATGTATGCATAGTTGAACAAATCGACAGAATATTTATACCGTCAGATAAAAAATCGATGCTCGATCGTGAGTTCATGGTATAAGAACTCTTTCTTTTTTCCCTTTTACCTCATCCTCTCTTTCTCGCTCTCCTTCTCTTTCTCGCTGTTGATAAAACGAAAAGTTAACAACGCGAATAATCATACGTTATCGAAAGGATTCGACATCAACGATCGCATTAAAGCTCAACGTTCTTTACGCAATTGCTTTAAATACAAACGAATCTCGCTCACACGTCTCTCTCCTCCACGGAATATCGACTTCTTTCCGTCGTCATTGCCGAGAACGTTCGGCGAAATCTATATTCTGAACTCTTAACGATCTCTCCCACATTCCTTCTCTTTCTCTCTCTCTTCTCGAGTCTAAAAGGGTTATACATGAATACATTTATTTGGATAGAAAAACATTTTGCAAATCTCTATGATTAAAAATATCATTATACATACAAACGATATCTCTTTGCATTTTTTTTTCTTTTCTTCCATTATCTTAGATACATTAGCTGCGCGATAATCAGTGTGCGAGAGCGCGGGAGAAGTTACGCGCGCACGCGATCGTCGCCAAAGTTCGTAAAACTCTCTTCCTTTTCTTTTTTTTTTTTTCTTTTCTTTTTTGTCATCGAATTGCTCCAATTGTAGCCGGCCTGAAAAGTCCAAATATCTGTTAAATAATTTCTTTTTTATTAATACTATGAAACGATCTGTGTATATGTACATCGATTGAATCGCGGGACACCTCTCGGCTGCGCGAGAGGTCGGTAGTCGAATAGAAACGGCGTATCGTCGCTACTCTCTCTACAATTTGTACAAAATCACTTGCAAATAAATCGCAGAATTATCACCATGCGGTCCTTGCCGAATAAACGGACTTTGATTTGACTGCCCGATGACAACGAGATAAACCTAGTATGGCGGTAGAGTAGCTCGCAGCAAACGCGCAAATGTAACCGCTACTATACATGCGCATTCTCGCGCGTTTGCGATGGTTTACACGATGATAGCAGGTCTGCCCTTTCCCTTTTCTGTTTCTTTCTTCTTTCGCACTATGTATACTCACTGTACTCCTTCGCAATTCTCTTCCCTCTTCTTTCCTACAACCCAACCTCCCCCAGCTTCTGTGAAACTGTGTACGACAAAAAAATATGTGTACACGATACGTAGCACAGAGCGCAGCTGAAAGAAAACAGACCCAACATCCATCGCACGATAGCGTCGGACACGCGCGCACGAGAAATTAAATAGTCGCGCGTGTAACCGAGCGCCGTATGTGTGTGTGTGTGTGTGTGTGTGTACAATTCTAGTTGCTAACTAGTTCAATTTGCCTATACTTCTTGCGCAGATTGCTGACAGAGTCTTTGAACAATACAGGGTCCAGCCGCATGTTGGATCGCAACAGCGGCATGTACCCGAACACCGCGACGAACGTATTCATGCACGTTTGCCGTTGTATGAAGTGATCCGGATCGTTCCACGGTGATCTGAAACGGTGGAGAAAAGCCACATGTATCTTTTCCACGAACGTGACGCGATAAATGACGAACGACAACACGCGCGATACGACAACGATGTTAAACGCGCGTCACCTACCTGATGCCAGCTACCGCGGTGTCTTTGTACAGCTTCCGCTGCGTCACTTTGATAGGCGGCCTCCGGGTAACGTGACTCACCAGGAAGTTCATGAGTATGTCCTCGCAGTTCTGCGACTGCTCGACGGTCTTGTGAAGGGTCGAGCTCAATAATTCGGTGTACAGAGTATTGTAATAACGGTGATAAAACGCGGCACCGGTGAGAATGATGCTGTAATCGTTCGTCCATTTGCTCGTGTAACCCCAGGAACGCTACGGGTACACAGGTTGATGATGATCGATTGAAATAAAACAAAGGATGCGTCAGATGACGAATGCTACATTCGGTCACGAAACGTCGTGTAGACCGATAAGAGGCTAGATTTAACTCATAACTTACTTACAAGGGGAGCACCAGGTGACTCACCCTGGGATTTCGACCCCAATTTTTTTAATTATTCTGGAGATGAAAAAAAAGATACGTGTCCCGGCGTTTGATTGAATAGGCCTTAGTTTCGGAGTAAAAAATTTGTGAAAATTGACCATATCCGAAGCGCACCGCGGCGCGCCATATGAGTCTTCCCGGTAACTGTACTTCCAACCAGTGCAGTTGGCTTGCTTCATAATTCGTAAGATCCAAGTTCGCTCACGGAGGTGAGCAATAATTTTTTTTTTTTAATGAGTGTTTTTATTTATTTTTATTTATTTTGATGATATTGATATAGTATAAAAAGATATAGTATAAAAAGATTCATTCTTTAATTCATTCACAATTATCATCGGGAGCTTTACAGATCAAGTACGCTTGGTTTGCATCAAAATTAATTCCTGAAAGAAATGTGTTTCGAAACGTCAACGAAATATGTTTCCCCCCGGACTTACGGAAAAATAAATGTGTATGTGATACTCCTTCATTTATTCATTGTGCAAACTGTAGAAAATTTATACGCTTTAAATGTTTTTATGATGTTTATCATCCAAGTAATTGTTCCGCATCGAAATAATTTAATTTTGTAATAAATCCGCAATACTTAAATAATTGAATTTTGTAATAAAAATATTCACATTCACATTTCAGATGTTTGTTTATTCTTCTTCTTCTACGATTAATTATTTTAAAAACTAGAAATTTAAAATACTGTTAATATTATTTCCAATTAAATTTTAAATTTAAACAATTTGGAAATTTAGATACGTTGCCTTTGTATGTTATCCATTACAAATAACTTATATATTATTATTATTACTTATTTATTATTTCTAATATTATTATTTGAATTAAAATTCCCTTAAAATTAAATTTTAATTAATGTTTAATTGTGATATTAAATTAAATGTGATATTAAATTAAATTTTCTATTTCAAAAATTTGCATACTATATCATCATTAAAATAAATAAAAATAAATAAAAAGACTCATTTAAAAAAAAAATTATTGATCACCTCCGTGAGCGAACTTGGATCTTACGAATTATGAAGCAAGCACCTAACTCACGAAACCAACTGCACTGGTTGGAAGTACAGTTACCGGGAAAGCTCATATGGCGCGCCGCGGTGCGCTTTGGATATGGCCAATTTTCACAAATTTATTACTCCGAAACTAAGGCCTATTCAATCAAACGCCGGTACACGTATCTTTTTTTCATCTCCAGAATAATTTAAAAAATTGGGGTCGAAATCCCAGGGTGAGTCATCTGGTCCTCCTCTTGTTAGTTACGTACTTACCTTCGAGTCATCCCAATAATGAGATCTCGCTGGATACCCTATTATTCGATCGGGAAAAGAGCGCCACACCGTGAATGCGAAGTCCACTTCGTCGGTGTTCAGAGTGGCATCTTCGTCGAGCGATAATATGGCACTAGTTTTGATTAAAGGATGAGGATAAAAACGCTGCGATATACCGTCAACCGCGACTACATGGATCGACGCTTTGATCCCTTGCCAACGCGGCCTTCTTGGCACCGGAACGTCCGAGTTCCACATAAGTATTATCTTGAATGGAAAATAACAATCGTTATTGGCGTGCCAGGATATTGCGCGAGAGGAAGTCGAGTCTGATATAAAAAGAAAAAGACGAAAAAGGAAGAAGAAAACAGGAAATGCTTACCTTATCTAAATATTTGCTTTTCGCGAGACTCTTAATCAAGCGATAGAGAACGGCGGTGGAACCCAATTGCGAATAGATTATGGCAGTGAAAGTGTTACCAGGGTTACTGTTCGAAAAAGGAAGCTCCTGCTGGCTGTCGGCAAATTGCGGCAGGATCGCCAGAGCACCTGGACTGGTGTTCCAGACGATCCTTTCCCGCGCGCCTTCCCATGGCAAGCGCTCGCGAATATTCTGCAATGACGATTCAAATTAATGAAAAGGTCAAAAAAGGGACAGGATCGAGGTATGCGCGAACGAACGCACGAATAATCTCACCTCGAACACGGTGAATACAATTTTCTCGATGGACGAAAAATATCTCTCCCACAAAAACTGCGTCTGCTGCCGTAATTTAAGAATTTGTACATTGGACACGGACCGCACTATATCTGGAATCTGCGGGACATGCGAAACTGAAGTTATTGAAGCGAGAATCAAGACTGGATTTGGCAATCGGAGACGCGACTTACTTGAAGTAACAGTCTTTCATCGGAAAATATAACAGCCTGAGTCCAATCGATACGCTCGTGGAAGGGAAGAGCCCAACCGTTACTTAAGATAATTGGAATACATCCTGCTCGTAAGGCTTCTAGGAACCGAAAGCTGCCTAATCGTCGTCCTCGCGGGACCAAGCAAAATGTAGCGTTCATCAATAGAATCTCGTAGTCATACCTACAAAGGAAGACAAGTTACATCTTCAGCTTGAAACAACGTGTATTAGAGTACGATACACTAGGTTGGTGCAAAAGATTCATCATATTTGTCCAATAAAATAGAGATCGAAATTTCAAAGGATTAATAATATTAAATAAGATAAATTGATATTTTTCTATTATTTTCTAGACATCTAACATCATTCCTATTTTCTTTCTGATGTCCAAACTTCCTACGAGTCAAAGAATAAAAAAATAATACATAATAAAGAATCTTTTGCACCTAATATGTCGTAAAACGATATAAATCTTGAATACTTACGTATCGTACTCCTGATTATCTTGCTGACAGTGTTCGTCCTGCAATTCTCTCCACGCCTTGCCGTGACGGCAGGTAGTGACGAACACCAAGTCCTTGCCGTTGTGCAGATGATAAAGAGCGTTCCTCGTCTCGGACCCGATGCCGTGCACGTATCGTTTTCCCTTGAAAGCTGCCACGTACTTCTTGTTGCTGGGAAAGTTGTTCTCCAACGCTTGGCCGGACTCGCCGCCGCGTTCCGGATGTTGCTTGCCGAACAACGGTATCGACACGTCGAAGTCCGGCCTGTGTCTGAAGATGGACATGCTGGCCTTGGCGAGCATCGCGTAGCCCACGTCAAAGGCCAACGACTCCTCCGCGTAGTCGGGCCACGTACCGGAGTACAGATTGAATATCAGATGGTTCCTGCCGTTATTCCAGTACGGCAGGTGCAGCAGTTTGGAGGGCAGGTTGTGTACAAATTCGGTGGACAAGGGATCCCTATCTAATGTGTCCAGAGCTAAGACGAATATACATGCCCGGGCTGGGTCCGACGTGTAGTACCGCGACTCGGTGATAACGTTTAATATTTTTTGGTATAATGGACTTATCACATCCTCGACTGGATACACGTACACGGTGAAGCCCTGCTTGCATCGTGTGAAGTCGAAGCAGGTCTCCATGCGGCAATGCCTCGTACGCTGGGGCATGACCGAGTTGACGTTGGATGTCCTTAAATCTTTGTCGTAGAACTCTTCGTTTAGACTTAAATATGAAGGCAATCGCTCGTAAGGCAACTGAGATCTGCCTATCCATTTTTCGCTTTTCAAGCGGTAACCGCCGAAGTAGCAGTAACCAAGAAACGCGCAGGTTACGAACAACAACAAGTAGCGTTTCTTGGCTTGCATCTTTGATACAGTCAAGTTATACAAAGATGTGCGGCGGTTCCAAGCATTATTTCCTGAATGTGAAAAGGTCTGTATGTAGTCACAAGCACATGACGACAATTATGCTGCTCAAAAGTTCCTCCAAGATACAATCACTGTTGTTCTTTTGTATTGCTGCAACAAAACGAAGATTTACACATGTCAGACGCGCTTTTGACAAAGAACACTTTCTGTGAATACACATGCATCAAGTGTGTGGGAACTTGCAGGAATACTTGCAGGAATACTTGTAGGAATAGTTGCAGGAACAGATGCAGGAATACTTAGAGAAATTTTCATAGGAATACTTGCAGGCACTAAAGTCTGATATAGGAAGAAAAACATGTTCAGCGTAAAAACTTAACAATCAAAATCAAAGTCTTCAATCTAAAAATTTAAAACATAAATAAGATAATCTTGTATTTTATTGGTGTTATCATTGCTGTGATACATAGTGCACACTTGCTACAAAAAATATTTACACACATTTATTGACGTAACATTATTATCACTAAGATGTTATCGTATAATCTCTTATGACAACAGCGACATCCTTAAATAACCACAGCAAGAGCTTTTTGTAAATAAAAGAAAGAGAATTGCAGAAAGAAAAGCATTCTGCAAAGCCACCAACATAAAATCAGAATATGTGGTAGCTATACACTGTGCAAATTTATGACAAATACATATGCACACGTTTGTTGACATTGCATTATTGAGTATCATCGTATCATATGCAAATCTCCTACAGTGACAAATTGAAATAGCCAAATAATCAGAACACTTATCGCAAGTAAAAGAAGAGGAATTTGAGACCAAAAAATGTTCTGTGAAGCTACCTGTTCAAAATCAGAATAAATGGTAGCTGTGTATTGTGCAAATTTGTTAAAAACATATTTTCACACATATTAATAACATAATATTGCTATCACTAAATCATTATCGTGTCACACAGATCTCCTGTAGTGACAAACTGAAATTGCCAAATAATTGAAACAAATATTTTGGCAAAAGAAGCGGAGTTTGTGGCGAAAAACGGTCTGCAAGATTACCTGTCTAAAATCAGGATATACAGTAGCTGCTGTCGACAAGAACGGCTCGATTTTCGCGAAGTACATGACGAAAATTGACAAACTGATATGCCGTCGGTGATGAGCCCCGCGTAGTCAGCCCCACAGTATTTCCGAACACGTTATGCACACGAAACGTGGCCGGGAAGCGGGCGAGAAAATCGCGTGAGCTGCGCGACAGGCGCGGCAGTTAGTCGGTCAGGTTAACCTATAAACTGCACGATCCGGAGCTCGCGTGGCCGACGAGCGCGCTGCACATCCACGTCGCTGCGAAGCGGCGCGTACGAGCGCCGCGATTCATGACGCGATATTCACGATATATGCCTGCCCGCGGGCGCACACCGTCGCGTCGAGTCGCGCCGCACACGTTTAGGTTAGTTCCGACGCGCAGCAACACCGTCGTCGTCGGGCCCGCCGGCGATCTTACGCCCGTGTCGCATCTTCGGCCGGTGTCGGCGGACGCGCGTGACACCGATTGACGAACGTACGCGGATGCGAGGTCATTATCGCGTGCGCGACCGCGGTGCATGAAATAATTGACTTTAAAACACTCGAAATCACGCAGTGACGTTGAGACTGTCAGGCAGCCCGTCGATCACACACTTTCTTTCTCCCTCTTTCTTTCGCTCCCTTCCTCCCTCCCTACCTCCCCCCTCTCTCTCTCTCTCTCTCTCTCTCTCTCTTTCTCGCGTGCCTCTTCGAACTGCACCATCGATAGAATGCGATTATCGAGAACAGTCGACTTCGAATGGATTCTCGCAATTACCGATGGCGCCCTCAGTCGGTAATCGAGAGCGCCGACGTTACCAACTGTTTCTACTCGTGAACGCCAGCGCCGCCACGCGTGGTAGATCCTGAATAGCAAATCCACCGACCAATCACAGTAGAGAAGCGTCGTTTAAAATTTCAATTTGAAATTCTCCACTGCGATTGGCAGATTGAGTTTTAGAGGGAACAAATTGCCGCGTTTTTTCATGTATGCAACGATGGCCATTTTGTCGGCCGTTCGCGCGATCTTTCTCGCGAAGGAAGATTCTGGATATTTCTGATACAACACGATTTGATATGTCTCGCGCGCGATTTTTACGCGGTGTTCTTGCTCGCGCTTTCGACGCCAAGACACCCTTTCCCCCGCGGCCTTTCGCTCCGTATAATCGACTAAAATTCGCGAATAAAATTCGGCGCGTGAAAATCATAAAAATGTATTCGTTGTACATGACGACTCACCCTCCTTCTTCCACAGTAGCTCGAAATCGCAGCTCGCGAACCCTGTTGCGACGAAATCTCCTCGACTCGGCACTACCGGTACACGAAACACACTCGCAGCTGTCCCGACGATAAATCGTGACCAAGACCCTGTTGGCGGGTCGAGGACAGCGGTTCGGCGCACTCGGAACGTCTCCATAACGGCACAACGCGTGATACTTGTGGGCGGCACTTCCGATAACCCGCGACTCTCCGCGAGATATTCACTGCTTCGTCACGATAAACGCGCGATATATTACATTCCCGACGGCATTTCCGACCATTCACGACGGCATAAATAATCACGAGATTCAAGTCCCGAGTCATCGCCGTTACGCGAATGGCGGGCATGCGATTTTGCACTCGGCACCACCGACGAACGAGACGGCTGTTCTTTGTCCGAGACGTCTGCTTTTTGCAATCCTTCGCGATATTTCGCGATATCGAATACGGGAGACTCACCTTCCGCATCCTCGATGACGAGACTCGTCTGCAACAGACCGAAATCCCGGCGAAACGAGGAGAGCTCCGCGAATCCGTGTAACGTCGCGCGCGATGCGTTGCTCAAATGGACGCGCAACGATTTTGAAGGAACGAAACTGCGCGCGCATCGCGCGATGCGCAACGCGCGAATCTTCCCGGCAGAATGATGCAGCCTTCCCAACTGAATGACGCAATCTTCCCAAGCGATTCGAAGCACAGAAAACGCTCAAGACGTTTCTGATACTTAAAATATCGAAAAATACAATTGCTTATTATTGTGTATACTTCAATCGCTAGAGAACGATTTGAATAACCGCTCGAAAATTCAGCGTAACGTAGCGTCACGTGATACCACTCGCTGCAGTTGCACCACCTTACGGAGGAAGATTAAAATTCGGCGAGTTGGTTTTATCATTGCATTCAGTAGATGAATTAGGAAATAAGAAATGAAAATGCATAAGTAAATGAAGCCTTTCGCATTTTCAGACAAATCTCTTTTCTCTCCCGACACATCTATCAAAAGATGTTTATAGTGTTTCGTATATCTTGCCGTTGGAACTTGTCACTTATTTACAGAAAGCGTGGATTATCGCGTTGAGAGGCTTTGATTATCGACACGATAGCGGTTTTCGTGCAGGTAAATTCGTGATAATTAATAATGCAAGTACACGCAATAATGCAATTAAACGCGTTTCAGGCTAAAATGGCCGAAAACGTACACCTATCGATCGGCAGTATTCGGCCGACTCTTGTGCGTTGAACTTCCTTGAAAAGTGCACAACACACGGCTCCTAAGGGTGACCAGATCCTCGCGGAGAAACGAAGAGGCATGTTTCTCAAAGTTGCGAAGGATGTGTCGCGAACACTCGCGAAAGTCTACAGAGAATTTTCGATGGAATCGACGATACATGGACTCAAACATACGACCTTAGCAAGAACCAAGTTGGAGAGGTAATATCGATTGATCATTTTCTTTTTCATTTTATTTGATGATGACAATCTAATGTCGCAGAAGAAAAGTCGCGGAGGATGCAAAAGAAGTCGAGAAAGCTGAAATACGTCCCAATTTTTCTAATATAATTTCACCTTTTAATGTACAAAACAGGATATATAAATTAGGATTTTGTTCCATTGTGCTTTTCTTGCAAGAAATTTCTCAATAATTTCATTAATCACATAATGAACCACATAGAGACGTCAAACTGACATAAGGTTGTCGTTTGAATCAAACTGTTATCCAGTAAATATTAACTAGTAGTAACATTATATTAATGCAAGATTTTAAAAATACCACTTATTTTTCTCAATTTAATGATTGATTTGAACAAATATATTTTAATTTAACCAATTGATGGTTTATTAAATTCATTGATGTAATCAATAATAGAATGTTTAATTGGCTGTTGATTTCAACGAATTGAACGGTTTTCTCAATCGAATTTGTTGAAATCAATTATCAATTAGACAATCTCCAATTGAGTTAATTCATCAGTTAATCATCAGTTAAGCACGATAATTAATGAAAAAGTAATTAATTACTTGTAGTCCCACATCAATGATACAATTTTTCTCTCAACGATGCAATTATTATATAATACTCATTTTATATGTAATTAATTTATTGATATTATGTTACTGGATATTGCTTGTGTGAATAGTTTTAAACATTAACGTTAAATACGTTCCTTTCCAGATCAATTTGGGTGGTTATTCTGCTGTTATCTTTCATGGCTGCTGGACGAATGGCAAGCTTATTTTATGAGAGACACCAATCTGCGAGCATGAGCACCCTAATGATCAGCACGCAATATCCGACATCCATGTTGGAATTGCCAGCGTTAACATTGTGCCATGATGGTATCGCGATGACGCACAAGGTGATCCCTTACTTGACATCGCAAAAGCGGATGTGAGCAATTTGCAATTTAATAACTATTTGTTATTAGTGCCGGCGTGATCGCGAGTAACAAAAGAGCGAAACAATTTGAACGGCGATGGAGTCGAGACGTGCAAGACGTGAATGCGCGTAACAACAAGAAATGTAACAATTTAAGGAAAGCACACTTATATCGACACTTAAGTCTGTATTAATAGTGGTTATTTGTCTTAAGTGAACTACTCAGATCTGAATTTGAGTTAGATGTGAGTTTTTCAGTTGAATTGCAATTATAAATGTAATATCACGGATATCGTGTAATTCAAATGAAAAGCTTCGATATAACTTGAAATTTAGATCGAAGTATGTCACGTATCAATAAATTTTAAATAAGGACTATTAATACAGACTTTAGTCTTCAATCGGTCTTCTAATTTCTGTAATCTTTATGATCTTTATATCTTTTTTTGAGTGATTATAATTACTCAAAAAGCAATTATCTTCTTCTATTTCTAATTAGATACATGCCACGTGGGCTGACGCGCTCCGACTTTGAGGAGTCCCTCAAGTACTTACGGGAGGCGATCTATCCCAAGAATCATTTCCCCGACGAGTTGGACCAACTGCAGCAGATCCTCTCGGCGAACCGGCTGTCACTGCTGGATCTATTCGAGAACGTGAATCCGAATTGCAGTGACTTCCTGCTGATGTGTCAACTCGAAGGACAGACTGTACCTTGTTCGAGACTGATTGAGCCGGTGGTCACTTATAATGGAATCTGCTGCGCTTTCAATTACGAGTTTTCCAGCGAGGGCTTGCAGAGGTATCTCAAATGACTATGAGGAAACGTACGCGGAAAAAAGATTGGTTGAATTAACATGACACGTCTAGAGTTGAGTTGTGGTTACAGGAGACCAAATTTCTGATTCTGAAGAACCGAATTTAATTCACCAAAACGAAAAATTTCATTTCCTCCGGCCAAAACGCGTCCAATTATTGTCACATATTCACATACAATAAGTCACATTAATTCATCCAATCTTCTTTCTCCGTGCGTTAAGAAGCGCGAGCATGAGAGAGGAACCTTCGAGAAGCCGAAAGCTGAAGAGACTGAAGAGTCTTTCAGGTGTCTCTGCACGCGACGCTTCTCCTCTTATGCTCGCACAACGTCGTCCGTTCTGTCGTTCTTCCGGTACCGATCGCATACTGAGTTCCACTTGAACGGGTCAGTAAACGTCACTACGACGCAGAAGAAATTATGATATTTTCACCTTGACCACAACGCACTTCCCGTGATCGACATCCGACATATGCATATGTGCCGTTACTCAACGCTCTCGAGAGGCCGGCTTTTTCTTACCTGACCACGGGGAATTTGTACTTCGGCGCAAACGAATTATTACGTAATCAGTTTGACGTAAATGTTTGTGTTCATCTCACTTAAAAGGAATTCGCGGAATCTCAGTTTCTCTCTGTCACTCTGGCTCTCGAGACAGAGAGGACGCCTTCACCAAACATCACAGAAATAACGAACGCTATTGAGTTCGTTATCGGCTGCTTAATTATCGCGATAAAAATAAACATCCGAATGCGAACATGGATTCATCTGGCGATCAGAAGCAGTGCGTTACCGGAGGTAATAATAAATCGGAGACGATCGATGTTACGACATTACTACGACGTTAATATAAAAAAAAACTGTATAATGGCCCATTATCGATCGTGCCTCTGGCAAGAAATGCAAAAAATGATTCTCGTGTCAGAAGTCAAACACGCGATACGCGATTTCTGCTGATTTGAATACACACACTATGTTATTTCTGATAATATAAAAAAAGAACGAGTAGAAGTAGAGGTTGGCTAGAAACCATACTTTGTGTGCAATAGATGAAGCAGTACGTAATTTATTATTAGCAGTTATTCAAACTTTATCTCGCGTACTGTACAGATAAACACTTAAAGAAGATACAAAAGAGTTTCAATATTAATTTTATTAATACTATGTTAGTTTCAAGCAAAAGTTCTCTTTTTTAATACATATCCTTTCAAGAGATATCCTACAAAACTTTCAATTCTTCGCTAATTAAACGCGAATATTTGAAAGAACTGCTCCATCTCATTAATATTTTAGATTATCTTTATTTCCAACAATTCCTCAATGTATCCTTGAAACGTTAAGTTAAATCATTGATTTCTTTTACTTCTATAAGAAAAACAACTATAAACACTTCCTTTCTAAAAAGACTTCTAAAAAAACAAGGTAATGAAATACATATTTACAAATAGAATTGCTTAAAAAAAACTGAAAAATAATGCCTCGATAATACATCATTATTCATTTCAATTCAGCAAAATTTGACTTATTTTTTGTCTCCAAGACTTCGACAAACTAAAACTAAATCGATCATCCTTTCAGATCCACGAAGCTCCTGAAACAGCGTAAGAGTGCAAAGGTTGGCTCGCACTTTGTCCTGTCTCTGCTTATGCAATCGTATTCGTCGGAGGACCGCGTGGCCTCCATCACGTATGGCGACGGCGTGAAGGTGATCGTGCATGAGAGGAGCACATATCCGTCGCCAAAGGCCGTGGAGTTCATGGCAGCGGCAGGCCATGAGACGATAGCGCAATTGGACGGCACTTTGCTGACCAGCACATCCGACGTGCTGGAACTGTCTGCTCGCGCACGAGGATGCTCCACGGGCGCAAACGGGCCGCAGCACCGGCCGTATCGTTCTGACAATTGTCAGGTCGAGTGCCGCGACTCCGCCGTATGGAAGCTCTGCAACTGCTTGCCATTGTCGGCGGCACCCGCTGTCACAGACGCGGAACGCGCCCGTCAACCCTGCGACCTCACGCACGTCTCATGCCTGGCACGAGCCGTGCTGCGGACATACCCCGTGGTCGAGCAGGACCCACGATGCACTTGTCTGCCAGACTGCGAAGGCACTTCGTACAGAGTAGCACTCGCGAGCGCGCCCTTGAACGCGGCGCAGTACAATCCGCAACCGTTTTAGTAAGTAGCGAACGTGCACTGAGAAAAACGGTTTATTTCGTTAAAATTACAGTTTTTTTGATATCACATTTTTTTGTTCTGATAAAAAGTAGCAACGAAAGATTATTATCGCTGATATAGTAGCGCTGACTACAAAAATAGTTTTCTTGACTATAATTATACTTCATTATGCAATTACAGTCACGAATACTAAACACTTCCTTGTTGTATCGTTGACTTTTGACTCTCGCAGGAAGGAATCGATCGATTAAGCATGTATACTTGCTTAGACTTGTCGATCGATTCCTCCTACATGTAGAAACATCGAGACAAAGTCAGCAAAACGTTAACGCGAATCTAGTTTAAGTTAAAATTAAAACCCCTGGTCCTTCGCCGCGGAACTCTTGATTGATGACATCAGGAGCAAGGGGCCAGGAACCTCAAGAACCAATTATGTTGCAGTAAGAAGGTTTTGCAATACGAAAACGTAACCGCGCTCCACCTTACGTTCGCTGGGCAAATGGCGATGCTGCAGCAGAGGAAATTAGTGCTGTCTAACATAAACCTCTTATGTGAGTAGCAACGCGATACAGATGAGTACAATCGACTTGGTTATATGAATTAACTATAAAATTAACTAATAATTCTATTCAACAGCATCTCTGGGCGGCGTTTTTGGCTTGTTCTTAGGATGCAGCATAATCTCGATCATCGAGATTCTATATTTCTTCTGCATCTCTTTTGTTGGCGAATTTAAAGAGATCAGAAGACAAAGAAATACTGGTGAAGTGAATAATTGAACAGAGGATCAATGGTAAGGATTAATTTAAAAGAGACAAATTAAATGAAGAACTATGATTAATTAACAAAATCATCTTAATCTTACTCCTTTAACTATTTTCCTCGTTGCTCTCCATACAGTCTGATTTCTTATGATTTTCACTAGATTCACATTCTTCCTTAACAGATTCTTCTGTTGTGCCATCATAAATCTTTAAGATGCCTGTAGGTTCTTTTCTTTTATGCTTTGTTCTGGTGTCTGGTTTTAAAGATACTTTATGCCCTCTTATAATTGGCCATTTACGCTTCTTCTTCAAGTATTCTGCTGCTGTCTGGATATTCTCCATCTTTGCTATCGCACTTCTATACAAACACATGCATGTATCGTGTGAATGAAAAGAATTTCAACCTATATCCTGGTTATCAGGAATTTAGTATACAGACTGAACAAATCACATGTACCTGAAATTCTTATTGTAAGGTTTCAATAAAGTTACAGAGACACATCCAGGTAAGGCACCTCTGATTTCATCTGCTTTTGTATGAATCTCTATATTTGCAACAAATATCCTATAAGAGTACACAGCACATTAATAATCTATCTACAAAATAATATCACAATATAAGTAGGAAACACAAGCTCTTCCTTACCCTTGTGTCACTTTAACATCAGGTGTAATTTTTGGCATAAAGATCTTCTTTTTCTTCCTCTTTTTTGTCTCATTCTTTTTTTCAATTACAATGTCATGTAATGCATGAACTACAATATGTTTGCCATTCACCATCTTTTTCTTCACAAGCTTCTGATTCTTGATCTTCTCTTCCACACTGGTGAACACAACATGACATGACCTACTGGACTGTCGTGGTAATTTTATATGGAAGTCACCGACGAATAAATTCTCGACATCCTTTCGATCCTTTATCACATGAGGAAGACATACATTCAATGTACGTTCCCTTTGTTTTGCCAGCCTTTGATGTAACTTCTGTGACACAGACATAATTTTGTCGCTGTTGTATCCTGCAATTAAACATGTTATGTTAGAAGATATTACAAGATAAAATAAATCTACATGTATGTAATATTTGAGGTAAATCACACTTGCAATTAATCAACAAATTCTATTCATACGGAAAATTACAGATCTTTTCGTATTACTATTTAAAGATTTAGATTATATTTTCGTTTTTTGTAATTTTAAGTATCTTCGGCTGGCTACAATCTATTTTGTTATTTAGTACGCTATCTTTTTAAATTATAGGTTACAACAAAACGGGTAGCACGTGTAAATATACTCCATGAACCAACTCGTCTTTATAGGTATTTACATTGCAGCCAACATTTGATTTTCACTTTTGTAATTCGCAGACTCACCGATCGTGGCGTTTCGTGACGTTCGGAAGATGGCAAACAGCCAATAAGAATGGTTGCTCCATTGATCAAACCTTACTAAAGAAGATACAAAGATGATTTCTAGCTAATGAAACGACTTTTTCTCTAGCTGGAAAGCAACCCATATTTAAAGATGGCAATGTCCTTATGACAACATAGGGAATTCCCGAAAATCGTGACGTATGACCTCAGGATTCTCTCTACACGACGGCCAATCGGTAGCTCGCGAAGGTACTCGTAGGTACGAATAAATTCGCGAAGTTCCCACGGATTCGTGTGTAGGAGTCGCGATTCGCGACTCGACGAAAAAAGAAACAGACCTTATCCCCTTTCCGTTGATTGCGCGTGGAAATTCGGCTTACTTCTCGCCAAAGCGTGGCGAGTTGTGCGAATCTAGACTACATCAGGATCGAACGTCACGTAAATGGCGAGCAGCATATATGACGTATACGAGACGGTATAAAGGGAAAATAGAATTGATTTATCGCACGATCTCCCGGGTCGAGTCGGTCGGTCGTTCAGCGCGAAGGCCAGGTCACATCGTCAACAGCAACAACGGACGACGACGCGCGCACGGACGAGCCGTTTCCCGTTTCTCCGCGGTGGCGAACGACACGTCCGCAGGAGGATGGCGACTTGACCTCTCACGAGGAATGGAATGCTGTACGCAACGGTACGTTTTAATAATAACGGTAGCTGTGCGAGCGGAATTCATCTGTCGGCGTCTCCGTCGCCGTCGTCAACGTCGTTATCGTCGTCGTCGCCGTCTTTAGTACAGCGAATTTCGCGAATCGCGCCCGCCCTTTCCCCCGACACGCGAGATCAGGCTCGCGCGACGGAAAGGTTACGCGAACGGTTCTCTCGCTCGCGTGCCGTCGCGTCGTCGCAGCTGCGCGACGTCGAGAACCTTCCCCGCGACTCGACAGCGATCATGCACAGGTATGTCGCGGCATATCGCCCTGCGCGATCGCGTGTCTTTATGCCGTTGAATCGCATCGATCTCGTGATTACACATACCGCATATAATGACGTGCAACAACTCGCCACGTTCCGCGATTCCGAGTTATTGTTTCTCGAGAGCGAGGATAGGAGCAGGTCGTTCCGAAGCAATTCGTGTCGTCGCGGAAAATTACGGGCAGAATTCATCTCGGTCTTGCGACACGCGTCGCGGAATTGCAAATTGCGATTCACACCTCACGACTGAACGCGTATACCGGATATTCGCGGATGACTCGCGCCTCGCTTTGTTGTGCTCCGTTACGATTTTTTTGTCCCGTTCTTCGGACAATGTAAGTGGCTAATTTACATGAACCAATAACGTTTTCTGTGTCACTTTCAGAATATCAAAGTAAAATCCACTCAACCGGTACTACCAAAAGTATAAGGTAAATATGATAAATTGAGAATTTATGTCGTCAGTTAAATTATCAGATCATGTATTTGTTTTACAAATGTAATCATCCATTATGGATTGCACCACTTTGGAACAATCAATAAGAACTTCCTCTCTTAAAAATTATTATTTATGAGTCTGAAAATAGGTGAGGAGATTTGCATAAATTATCTGAAGTTGAGTGCAAAATTTATTTTTCAATGAATATTTTATAGTGATCCAAACTGTGATGATACAGTTAGAAAATTAAATCGTTTAGTACCCTATTAACAGATACACATCATATCTATGCTAATAAAATCATTATATTAGATACTTCATTAAATCATGGAAATCATTGATTGCTACAGAATACGTTCTTTCTTATTTTCTTCACATCAATGCAAATTTTTTTTGCATTGTAGTTGTGAGCATCAATTGGCATAACCAATTGATACAGAAGAATGTGTTTTAACAATTTTAGTTAATAATTTAGTTTGCCAATCCATACACAAGAAAATATATGACTTTAAATAAAAGTAACAAATTTGCATGTCATAATTGTTCTTATATTAGCATCTATGGTTGAGAGAAATAATCTTTCTTTATGGGACAATATCACCATCAATTTGTGTATATACATGTACTATTTATAAAGTAATATATTCTGATTACATAAATATTGTAATATAACTTCTGATAAAATGATATTTTACTTTTCTACAAAGATGGCAGACGTTGATCCTGAGACTTTGCTGGAATGGCTCAGTATGGGACAAGGGGACGAGAGGGACATGCAGTTGATTGCGTTGGAGCAATTGTGTATGCTCCTGCTTATGTCCGATAACGTCGACCGTTGCTTCGAATGGTACGTGAGCGGCATAAGTAACTGCGTAATAATGATTTTCAATGACGACACGCGATGTAACTTGGTATAATGTTTCGTGTGCCCGTCAGTTGCCCGCCACGCACGTTTCTCCCAGCGCTTTGCAGGATCTTTTTGGACGAATTAGTACCCGACAGTGTCCTAGAGGTGACAGCTCGAGCTATCACATATTATCTCGACGTTTCGGCAGAATGTACACGAAGAGTAGTAGCTATGGAAGGCGCTGTAAAGGCCATCTGCAGCCGTCTCTCTGGTGCTGGACTTGGTTCCAGAGCTAGTCGTGACCTGGCAGAGCAATGTATAAAGGTGAATGATCGCGAATTGAATTTAAATAAAATGCAAAATTAAAATAATTTTGTGTATATATGTACAGTAAGTGTAAAAAATATTCGTACACAGGAGATTGTCTTGAAGAAGGCTTTATTTGTAGAAAATGAGCTTTATTTAATAATTTATTAACAGGTAACATAATAAGTGATATATTTCTCAAAATTATGTTAATAAATTGTTAAAACTTATTTTCTACAAATAAGGTTTTTTTTCAAAACTCTCTGGTGTATGAATACTTTTTGCATTTATTATATACATGTCTGTATGTTATGTATCTGTCATATATATACATATGTACAACGTTTTATACTATCACAAAATATTAAAATGGCAGATAATAAAAGTTAAGCCGAGACGAAAAGTCCAGTGCCATTTTTTAACACGAATGATAGTTAACGAATTATTAATTAATTAATCTTGACACTTAACGCGTCCTAATTCGCGGAACACAAGGAGTAGTCCTAAAAAAATCTCTGCTTTTTAGATTAGCTTTGATGTTCAGATTAGAAACTAGCTTAAAAGACAGAAATGCTATATACATATATCGCTCGTACAGGTGTTAGAACTGGTGTGCGCGAGGGAAGCAGGTGCTGTGTTCGATGCCGGCGGCCTTCCCTGCGCCTTGTGCTTCATCCGAGAACACGGAGCACGCGTACACCGGGACACACTGCACTCGGCGATGGCAGTGGTCACCCGACTATGCGGCAAAGTGGAACCCCAAGATAAAGCTCTACCGGATTGCGTCGAAGCTTTGTCGGTCTTATTGAGGCACGAAGATGCACATGTCGCGGACGGGGCGCTTCGTTGCTTCGCATCGTTGGCAGACAGATTTTCCAGAAGGGGCATTGACCCTGCACCGTTGGCGTCGAATGGATTAGTTTCTGAACTTTTGTACAGGTACACACACACACGCACACACATATAAAATTCATGTAATCATTCATATAATCACTCATATATCTGTTGTATGTCATATATAAATTTAACATAAATATATTATTGTATTATATATCTTATATACGTGTAAACACCATTTTCTGCAGATTATCAAACGCTGCAGGGCCTGGCACTTCCGCTACGGCAACGTGCAGCAACCCGAAAACGCCCCCACCGTCTAGTACCGCGACGACAGTTCCGGCTCCGGAGCCGAAATCTTGTGCTTCAGTTTCGACTATAATCAGTCTTCTGTCGACGCTCTGTAGAGGATCACCATCGATCACCCATGATCTCTTGCGTTCTGAATTACCAGACGCGATCGAGAAGGCACTAAAGGGAGACGAGCGATGCGCTCTCGACTCCATGAGACTGGTCGATCTCTTGTTAGTTTTGTTGTTTGAAGGAAGATCGGCGTTGGGTCGTAGCACTACTGGCGGTCCGTCCGGTCCTTTATTACCAAGACTGAGACGCTTGGATAGCGCCGGCGAGAAGTCACATCGACAACTGATTGATTGTATACGCTCAAAGGATACTGATGCGCTGATAGAGGCAATCGATTCGGGCGGGATTGAAGTCAATTTCATGGACGATGTTGGACAAACCTTACTCAATTGGGCCTCCGCATTTGGTACACAGGAGATGGTCGAGTTCTTATGCGACCGAGGAGCAGATGTGAACAAAGGTCAGCGTTCGTCGAGCTTACATTACGCGGCTTGTTTTGGTAGACCGGCTATCGCCAAAGTTCTACTCAGACACGGTGCCAACCCCGATCTGAGAGACGAGGATGGCAAGACACCGTTGGACAAGGCTAGAGAGCGCGTCGACGAAGGGCACAGAGAAGTCGCGGCGATATTACAGTCACCTGGCGAATGGATGTTACCACCGAATCAAGAACACCGGAAACTCGAGGCAGAAGTAGAAGAGTTCACTGAGCCCAAGGGAGATCCCGAGATGGCGCCTGTCTATTTGAAAAGATTATTACCAGTGTTCTGTGCGACTTTTCAATCAACTATGTTACCGAGTGTTAGAAAAGCGAGTTTAAGTTTGATCAGGAAAATGGTGCACTACATTCAGCCGGAATTACTTATAGAGACCTGCGGATCCGACAGCACCGGAGGATGCGGAGCCATGCTCGTGGAAGTGATCGCTAACGTATTGGACAACGAGGTAAGAACACCCGAGTATTACCCGAGTGTGAATCGCTTTGTCGAGTATCGCTATGATTTCTTTTCCTTTTTTTTATTCGGACTTTGTCAAGCAAAAGTAAGATTCTTAAGTAAAGAAACTGTGTCTCGAGGAGACACAGAGAAAAAGAGATCCCGACGCACGCGCGCAGGCAGGGAGCAAGTCAGAGTCGGCGGTTTAGCAAGCGATTTAGTGGAGATTGTTCACAGGAACTCGAAATAAAGGCGCCATTGCCATCGTCCACAGCTTTTAAGGCGCTCATTGGCCCGAAATTACCCGGCCTTACGACTCGCAAGTCCTCGAGTTCGCGCAACTACATTCTCGATAAGACGGTAACGTCCGCTGCTGCATATTTCTATCGCTCGCTACTTGCAGAGAGAGAAAGACATCTCTTTTTTCTTTTTTTTTTGAGAATCCTCACCAATGTTGTAATTTTGTAATTCCGCCAGTTTCCATTAATTTTGTTCGTTAATAATCACGTAGAGCGATCTCGTTTACGTTTCTGATCATTAACACATACATATAAGTGCGCACTTACCACTCATTTACTTTGAAGCGTGAAACTTAACACACTTACGCATGTCGTTTCTCTATTCACTCGGATACGACTCGTATTTTGTACGGGCAGAGCCGCGTACACCACCACTACTCTTCACTACTAAGTCGAGCATACGATTAATTAATCTCAGAGTAATCGTGAGGCGCTAATGACACGCCTCCTGACATTGTGGCCGTGACGTACGTCTCTGTGAGAGAGAGACCTCGCGAAGAATGAATTTTACTTATTAATGTGAGATTTTTTGTCCACGAGCTAATCGACTGACCGAGTTACAAAGAGGGCGAATCAAAGAGACGTGTACTTACTAGAGAATTGTGTACTTCCGACGAGGCTGTCGAAGTATCTGGTCCATCTTTGTCTACTGCCTGCTTGCCGCTGATGGGATCTAAAAAAAAGTGTTTGTTTGCGTTTCTCGATTAGAACGTAATTCTAGAAAAAAGATGCCATAAACACAACATAACACGCTGATACATTTATCACGTATGAGTTTGCAATTGTAAAATAGCCACTTGTTCATAGCGAAAGTAAATCAATTTACATAATTTACATAGTTTACTCTCGTTATGCTTAGCAATTAGACGTCTTTAACTTGTCTTTTGCCAGCCTGCTTAGTGTTCCAGTCTGAGAACAGCGGTCTAAAAGTTTCTGTGTTCTAATATTTAACAGGAGGACGAGGACGGTCACTTGGTCGTTCTGCAGATGATACAGGATCTGATGATTAAAGGCAAAGATGAATTCTTAGAGCACTTCGCGCGTCTGGGAGTGTTCTCGAAAGTGGCCGCTCTGGCCGGGCCGCAGGAGACTACGCCCGAGCCGGAAGCGGAGTCTAATCAGTCTGGCGAAGAACAACGGATGGAAGACGCGAAGGAGCTGTTGGTGGGAAGAGCATACCACTGGAGGGACTGGTGCATATGCAGAGGTCGGGATTGCCTGTACATCTGGTCGGATGCAGCAGCCTTGGAACTGTCGAACGGCAGTAACGGATGGTTCCGATTTATCCTCGACGGCAAACTAGCAACCATGTACTCCAGCGGCAGTCCTGAGGGTGGAACTGACACGTCCGGTAAGCACGGTCACACCACTCGTATTCTCGCACCTCGGTCAAGAACCTGCCCATGCGGACAAAATGAATCACGTTGAGATTCGCACCACGTTCATCATTCATTCTGCTAATGCTGTCCTTATTTTTACTCGGAGTGTCGCTTCTTCCTCCCTCCGCCTCCTCTTTATTCATAACGGTAGACAGATATATTTCTCTTCCCGAATGTCATTTTTATATTACATTTATTCATTCGTGATTAACTTTTGTGAGGGGGAACTCTATTTAGAGAATAACTGGTTTTACTAACTGCCTACAGGAAAGGGGAGGAACACAGAGTCGCTTACCACCGAAGGTAGGTTACATACATGTTCAACTCTCTCTCTCTTTTTCTCTCTCTCTTTCTGTCTTGTAGTCGAGCATGCTGTCCTATCTCTTGGTGTTTTACACATTCCACAGGAGTTACATATTCGAAAATCTCATAGCATGCCATTTACCCTGTCTGTTGCAATTTGAGCACATTTCATTCTATAACGATGATTGATCTGTATTTTCTCTCGGGTGAGACGGATCGTTTGACGCGTATTTCCGTGATTTGCAGAGAATCGCGGTGAATTTCTGGAGAAGCTGCAAAGAGCACGCAGTCAGTTGAAAGTAAATTTCGTGAGTCAGCCTGTGCTTTCGCGCCCCGGCACTACGCGCTTAGTTGTAGGAAATTGGGCATTGTCCAGCAGAAAGGAGAGCGAACTGTGCATACATAACAGCGACGGCCAACAGCAGGCCACTATTTTGAGAGAAGATTTACCGGGTTTTATCTTTGAGTCGAATCGTGGCACCAAGCATTCCTTTACAGCGGAAACCAGCCTAGGTATGAAAAAAAGTTTCAAATAATACACTCCTTTATAATGTAAATAACTTATACATGTATATTATGTGTAATAACTTACACATAATTTATCTATCATAGTATCATATTTATATACAAAATTTTTGATATATACAGTGTTTCTTTACCTTTGCCTACGAAGAATATAGTGTTATCCCTTATGAAAAATTGAATCGAAAAGTCCTGAACATTTTTGTCTTTGATGCTTAACGAAGCAGATATTCTTTAGTAAATTCCAGCAAATCCGCGCCGTTCTTTAGAAGTATACACGTCTGTGAGCTGCGCGCCTGTAATGTGCGTGAATGCAGCGGCGGAACATTCATGCACACAATCAGACTTGCGACTCACAGACTGTGTACTTCTAAAGGACCGCGCGGATTTGCTGGAATTTATTAAAGAATATCTGTTAAGTATCTGTCAATATCTGTTAAGAATATTTGTTAAGCATCAAAAACAAAAATGGCTCAGGACTTTTCGATTCAATTTTTCATAAGAATAACGCTATGTGCTTCGTGGGCAGAGGTAAAGAAACACCCTGTATATATGAGACAATATAATTATAAAAAAAAAACTTTTCTATATAGTATCTTAAAAGTTTTACGAGCATATTCATGTACAGGTCCGGAATTCGCGGCAGGATGGACTGGCAAGAGAGGCAAGAGATTGAGATCGAAGATTGAAGCTATCAAGCAAAAGGTCAAGGTGCAGGCGCAGGAGATATATGAGCGTTACTTCAAAGCAGCACAAGCTCAACCACGCGGCGTAGTGGCGAAACTCGGCGCCATCGTCAGTCAGATCGAAAAAGCGACACAGAAGCAACAATCAGGCAATCGGGAATGGCGCAATATATTGCAAACTGCATTAGAACAGCTTAAAGTGCTGCTAAATGAAGAGGGCCGAGTGTCCGCGTATGAATTGCACTCCAGCGGCCTCGTACAAGCACTGCTCTCTCTGTTAGCCGCACCCCCCGGACCTTCACCGCCGACTCTCAGGGCGACCAAACTCAGGATGCAAAGGATAACCGTGTTTAAGAGTTGTTTCCAGACGAAAGACACGAATAAAGAGCATAACTCTGCAAAGATTTTAGTCCACAAATTAGTCTCGGTGCTAGAGTCGATAGAGAAATTACCCGTCTATCTGTACGATACACCCGGATCAGGCTATGGTCTGCAGGTAATTAATTATAGCATTACACACACACAATTTTATCATATTATAAGAAAGCTCTAGTTTCTCATTTGCAATTTTGTTTTTTTCTATCTTTCTATCTTTAGATATTGACGAGAAGATTACGCTTTCGATTGGAGAAAGCCTCCGGCGAAAGCGCATTGATCGATAGATCCGGTCGTAGCTTGAAGATGGAACCACTCAGCACGATACAACAATTAGAGAATCACTTACTAAAAATGGTAGCTAAACAATGGCATGATCACGATAGATCCACATTCACGTTCGTGAAGAAACTGAAAGAGGAGAATAGAATAACATTCAAGTATCAACATGACTTCGACGAAAACGGCGTGTTGTATTGGATTGGAACGAACGCCAAAACCTGTTCCGAATGGGTAAATCCGGGCCAGTACGGCCTGGTGGTTGTCACGTCGAGCGACGGGAGGAACTTACCTTACGGTCATCTCGAGGATATACTCAGCCGCGACCCTTCAGCATTGAATTGTCACACCAATGACGACAAGCGCGCCTGGTTTTCGATAGATCTTGGGGTTTGGATTATCCCGAGCGCTTATACTCTGCGGCACGCGAGAGGCTATGGCAGGAGCGCTCTGAGGAACTGGATGTTTCAGGCGTCGAAGGATGGTGTCACGTGGATCACGTTATACGCCCACGTGGACGACTGCTCTTTAAACGAGCCAGGCAGCACGGCTACATGGACACTGGAACCTCCGAGCGAGGAGACACAGGGCTGGCGGCATTTGCGATTACAGCAGATTGGCAAAAATGCTTCTGGTCAGACGCATTATCTGTCTGTGTCGGGCTTCGAGGTTTATGGAGAGGTCACCGGCGTGTGCGAAGATCTAGGTCGCGCCGCCAAGGAGGCTGAAGCCGGTGTGCGGAAGCAAAGACGATTCATCAAGACGCAAGTTCTCAAACATCTGGTCGCGGGAGTTAGGGTGGCCAGAGGTTTAGATTGGAAGTGGAGGGATCAGGATGGCGTACCACCAGGTATATTGAGTGTTAACGTTTATCCACTTACTAAGTCTTTAATCCAAGTCTATTCATTGTGTCAGAATATTATTGATTACTATCGACTGTTAGGAGAATAAATAAAAAATTTAGATCTCATAAGCAGCCAAGACGCTCAATGTATGCGTGAGAATGGAGAATTTGTACTTACATGTCGAATGAGTGATTTTAAATAATAAGTCACGTGTCAATCGATTAGAATACCTATTCTGACGACAATTAATGCAACCGCTGACGTTTGATTGCAGGTGAAGGTACGGTAACAGGAGAATTGCATAACGGATGGATAGACGTAACGTGGGATCACGGTGGATCGAACTCGTACAGAATGGGTGCTGAAGGGAAATATGATCTCAGATTGGTCGGCACTACTCTCGAGACGGACAGCGCAGCTAAGTGTAAGAGTAGCGGTGGCGTCTTAACGGGTCGAAAGTCAAGTAGCACACCCAGCTTGCCCGATTGCACCGACACAGCTATGCGCGGCTCGGTAGCTTCCACGGATCAAGCCGCGAGCGCGGATAATCTAGCGGCAAAGGTGCGATTTAATTATGTGTTTTTTTTTTTATCAGTTACATTTCTTATATTTCGAGATTTAATTAATATCACATGTACAATAATATATGTGATATCTTACGACAATTTTCCTGATTTTTATAAGCAGCAAGCTGCCGAATCGATAGCCGAGAGTGTGTTATCGGTAGCCCGTGCCGAGGCGGTCGTCGCTGTAACCGGCGAAGGCGGAGCGAACTCGACGAGCGAACTATCAGTCGTATTGCACCCCAGACCTGACACAACCGTCACCAGCGATTTAGCCACTATTGTTGAAAGTCTCGCCCTTAATACGGATTGTCCAGCTAATAGCACTAGTAATCGCGCGTCCAGTTCCAAACCACTTTTCGCTACTCTAAGAGGTAACAAGGTGAGTTGTATCGTGCACTGTTCGTTTGAAACTTTTGGCGATTCTGTCGTGTACAATCTCGCAACATGTATGTATAAAACTGTACCGTGCAGGCTAGCGGTGGCTTATTGAGTTTAGAAGCTGCTGAGGTTCTGGATCGTATGAGAGAGGGTGCTGACAGATTACGGAATAATACTAATAGTTTTCTGAGCGGTGAACTGCTCGGCTTGGTTCCCGTTAGAATCAGCGTATCCGGCGAGTCCGATGAGAACTCGTTGAGAATTAAGTCTGTATCGAGGCATCATCCAACAGGGATCGCGGATGGTATGTGCATTATATCGATATATAGTAAGCCCTTTTTCCGATACACCTTGACACTCATTTCAGTGTTGTGATGTTTGTGTTTTGTGATGAAAAGAAATGAAAGAAAAAAAAACGTACATATATACGCTACATACTGATCTCGTTAACTGTTACACCTTTTTACAATCTCTAATGCTCGGCGCGCGGCAGCTGTCACACGGCTCTACCGCACTCCGATCTCTCTCTCTCTGACCGAATCGATGAACTCCTTTCATCCTCTCGTGCTGATAGTGTATGTAAAAATTTAGTACATTTCCTCCGAATTAGTTGCTAAAGACTGTACTCGAGAGAAAGAGGCTAGCTCGTCTACGCAAAATACAACGGGTGGTTGTCCTGTTGTGGTTACCAATCCCATGTCGGTATCTGTGCCTAATCTCGCTTGTTCCGATGCTAACAATACCTTGGAACCAACAGCTGCTACTGGTTTATTGGAAACTTTTGCTGCGATGGCGCGAAGACGAACGTTAGGTTAGTCTCGTACCAAGTATAATTATAATTATACTAATATAAGTATAATTATATATGAATGAAGATTACTCATTAATGTTAATTTAATATAATGTCGTATATTCGCTGTCCTCAGCGAAGTGTATTGTCATACACAAAATTACTTCTCCGTTTACGTGGTACAATATGTCAATAATGTATTCTTCTTGCCTCGAATGATAAACGATAATTGTCGTTTGAACGATAACGCAATTTGCAGGACCTACGGGTGGACAGCATCTTGCTTCAAATTCTAATACGAGCTCTAATTCACGAGGACCGAATTCCGTGTCTAGCCTAGTACGACTGGCGCTCAGTCCTAATTTTCCCGGTGGATTACTTAGTACGGCGCAAAGCTATCCGAGCTTGACAAGTAGCGGACAGGTGGCCGGTAGTGGCGTCACTACGACGACTGGACCAAGCTTGGGAGCACTCACCATGTCTCTGACCAGTACAAGCAGTGATAGTGAACAGGTAAAATTGCTTCTTCTTGAATAGCTAATGCGCGACGAAAAAAACACGTTCGAACATTTCTCATTTCATCTTCAATTTCAGGTTAGTCTCGAAGACTTCTTAGAATCTTGTGGGGGCGTAGCAACCTCCAGCGTCGGTGGAGCTCGAACTACCGGTGCACCTACACTCTTAGCCGAATTGGAAGACGATGAAGATGGTGTCCTCGAAGAGGAAGAAGACAATGAGGAGAACGATCAAGAGGTAAGTGTGCGTATATCTCTATTTACTATTTTCGCACTGCTGCAGTGTGGATAAAACTAGTCTATTGTTAATTAAATATTGTGGCAGGAGGAAGACGAAGAGAATGAGGAGGAAGGCGACGGTTGCGAAGGAGAATATGAGGAAGTGATGGTAAGTCGCAATCTCTTGGCAGCATTCATGGAAGACGAGACACCACAGAGCAGCAAGAGACGCGCGTGGGACGACGAGTTTGTGTTGAAGCGTCAGTTCTCCGCTCTCATTCCTGCCTTCGACCCGCGTCCTGGTCGAACGAATATCAATCAGGTGAATAACACGTTTGGTGAATTATACGCATCGCGGATACCGACTGTTCTTCATGTCGAAATATTGTCGCAACAGACAACGGATTTGGAAGTTCCTCCACCTGGCAGTGAAGCGCAAATCAATAGCCGCGTTGGATCGCTGCCCATGCCTAGACTCTCCTTGTCGTTGAAGGGGCCAGGATTTCCCGGTGTAGCGGATGTCGAGATACCTCTCTCAGATCCTCACGCCAGTATCTTCCAGGCCGTGCAGGAATTAATGCAACTGACTGAATTGGGTAGCCGCCAAGAAAAATTGAGAAGGATATGGGAGCCGACCTACACGTAATTGCATTTCGTTAATTAGTCTTATCCTTCATTTTGACATTCTGAAAAAGAGAAATAATATATAGTTTGAATTCGTTTTATTAAATTCGAATCGATTTAGTTTTATTAAGTTCGTACTAATCTTGCTTTGTTTCTTTCTTTTGTGTAGTATAATATACAAAGAAGCTAGAGACGAAGAATCATCCGGTAGAGCGACGCCAATTGTGACGCTGTACTCTCGTAACGCCGCACAAAATGCGAACGCGTGTACTGTCGAGGACGTTCTGCAGCTGTTGAGACACGTGTTCGTCCTAAGCACTGTGCGGGATGACGGCAGACCGGCCGCGTTGGAGCAGGAAGAGTCCGACGACGCTGCTTGCTGGATTCACCCGGACGACTTCACATCCAAAAAGATCACGAACAAGATCGTGCAGCAGATTCAAGACCCGTTGGCATTAGCTGCTGGCGCGTTGCCAAACTGGTGCGAGGAACTCGCGCGGAGCTGTCCGTTCTTATTGCCCTTCGAGACTAGGCGACTCTACTTCAGCTGCACCGCTTTCGGCGCTTCGCGGTCGATCGTGTGGTTGCAGACGCAGCGTGATGCGATTCTCGAGCGACAACGTGCACCGGGCCTGAGTCCACGACGCGACGACAGCCACGAGTTCCGCGTCGGCAGGCTCAAACATGAGAGAGTCAGTGTGCCCAGGGGAGATAAGCTGTTGGACTGGGCAGAACAAGTGCTAAAGGTAAAAACTATGATTTGATTACGATGATCTATGTCGAATGGATGTATCTTACTTAGTGATGCAAGTTTAATTTTTCAACATCTTTATTCAGTACTTCAACTATAAAAATCTTATAAGAGTAAAAATGACTCTTATAAGAAATAATAGTAGCTAATTATAATATTTCATAAAATTAAGCATTTGGAAAAAAATTGTCTTAATTATGTATAATTCTAGTATCATTTTATAGATAACTATTTTACAATAATTTGAGTATAATAATTGTAAGTATATATCTCTGTATGTACTTAAAATTGTTTCAAATTAAATGATTCATTGATTAAATTTAGCCAATGAATTGATGAATGTCTTGATATCTTGAACATACTTTTATATCTTCATTCTTTCTTCATTGTATTCTTTATCGCACAGGTGCATGCAAGTCGAAAGAGCATACTCGAGGTCGCGTTTGTAGGAGAGGAGGGTACCGGACTGGGGCCTACTTTAGAATTCTTCGCATTAGTCGCGGCAGAATTGCAGCGCAGAGATCTGGGTCTTTGGTTGTGCGACGACGCCGTCGACGGGGATGGCAACGACGACGACGAGAACAATGCGCGGATCTTGAGCGAGGAGCAGTGCGTTACTACCGAGGACAAGATCCGGCCCGCGGGTTATTATGTGACACGCGCCAGCGGCTTGTTCCCAGCGCCGTTACCACAAGATTCGGCAGCTTGCGACCGCGCTGTTCGATATTTCTGGTTCCTAGGAGTCTTCTTGGCAAAGGTTCTACAGGATAATAGATTAGTAGATCTACCATTGTCCCGTCCATTCTTAAAATTAATGTGCCGTGGTGATATCTCGAACAATGTCAACGAGAAAATCGGTCTCACCGGCGTCACGCAAGAGAGTATTTCGTCCAGTATGTCGAGCAGCTTCATCTCTGAAGAAGGTGAGACCGACGCTGCGTACTCCACGTTGGAGCCTTGCCCATGGTACGCCGGATTACTGGATATCGAGGACCTCGCCGAAGTGGACCCTGTGCGAGGAGAGTTTCTCAAGGAGATACAGAACGCGATCACCAAGCGTGATCGGACCTTCTCCGACGGCTCGAACGTCGTCGACGAGGAGACGTCGTCGTTGTACATTTCTCATCAGTCCGGTATTTCAGTGGCCATCGAAGATTTAGCATTAACCATGACGTATTCACCAAGTTCGAAAGTGTTTCAACATGATCAAGTGGAGTTAGTGGAAAATGGCGCAGACGTCGCGGTGACAATAGAGAACGCGAAGGAGTACACCAATCTCACCATCAACTACTGCCTTAACCAAGGGATATGCAGACAACTTGAGGCGTTCAAGTCAGGCTTCTCCAAAGTCTTCCCCATGGAGAAACTGCATGCTTTCAGTCCGGAGGAGATGAGAGCGATGCTCTGCGGTGAACAGCACCCGCAATGGACAAGGGAGGACTTGCTCAATTATACCGAGCCAAAATTAGGATATACGAAGGAAAGGTGAGACGATGATATGCAATTTCGTCGGACTTAGCTATAGAAAGAATTTACAATATTTTTTCAGGTATTTAACGAGATTCTATATTATTTGCTCTTAATATCTCTAAATTAATATTTTTTATAATTTTTTATGATATTTTATAAATCAGAATTTAATGGAGAAACGACAAGTGTTTCTACAACAACTTAATGGAATCACGTAATAGACAAATTGATAGTTGATTGCACACACATATTTTCTTTTTTTCTCACATGTGACATTAATATTTCCTTTTTAGCCCTGGCTTCCAAAGATTTGTCAATGTGTTGTTGTCGCTGACCGGTTCCGAGAGGAAAGCGTTCTTGCAATTCGCCACCGGTTGCTCGGCTCTACCTCCAGGTGGTCTATGCAATTTACATCCCAGATTGACCGTCGTGCGCAAAGTGGACGCCGGTTCCGGTGGTTATCCTTCTGTTAACACCTGTGTTCATTACTTAAAATTACCGGAATATCCTACTGAGGAAATCCTGAAAGAGAGACTTTTGGCCGCTACCCGGGAACGAGGATTCCACTTGAATTAAAGAAACCTTATTTCGCTCGCACGAGGAGAGAGAGAGAGAATTCGAATTATTCGTATATTATACGCGGGAGAAAATGATTATACTTAACAGAACGATACTACGTGTTATGTATGTAGGAAAACGAGTACGCGGCCTTTATCGTAATTTGATATAATTTTAATTCTTTTCTCCGGTAAGAGGTACATATAAATATATATATATATATATATAACGTAGTGTATAAAAACACAGACGGCAACTTAGTAACCTGGGACGGAAAAAGCTTCGTTTCTGCAAAAAAACAGATACGTGTCCACGTGGCGTTGAACGTGCTAACTTCTGTCTCTGTCATTTCAGTTATCCAAAATTCGCGATGCAACGTAATTCACGCGCATTTCTAAATTGTCTCCATTTCAGAGATACAAATAGGCGGAATATTGTCGCGGTGCTTCAGTAAATTTCCGTAAGTTGTAATCGCTATACACAATCGAATGTCGAGCTCTCTTAAAATCACGTTTATTTCCTGTATATATTATGGTATCTTTGTAATATTTTATATATACATATATATTAAAATAGGTAGGACAAGATATATGATATACATATTTATATTTAATGTAATTTTTTCTGCTGTGAATTAGTCAATATCTTCTTGTTTTATTTTTCTATTATTTGTCGTTGAGTCTCACGATTTGCAGGTTACAGCTTGAATAGGATTTCTGGCACACCGCATTGGCTATTGATATGTATCACATTAATTATAATTTGACAAATGTCTTATCGTTCCTTTTTTTTGGTGTACTGTGAGTAAAAACTAATTGTTGGAAAAGATCTGTGCATATATATGTATACGTTTACAGTTGGACAAACGTTTGCAAATTATCCGTTCCAGGTATTCGATATTCCATTGTAAAATTGGTCCAATTTAAAGATAATTTTTTTCACCAAACTTTCTTTAAACTAGGGTCTTTTCGAGTATAATCGCTAGAGCCTCACGGAACGGAAAGTCGAGAGTTCCTCACATCAGTCTACTCGCGTATTTTGCTTTCCTTTCTTCTTCGAAAATATCGTACTTCGGATGTCTAGTCTGCATAAAAGGCAAGTTTGATGAGAGAGAGAAAATTTCTATTTTCTTTATATTACATAAAAATATTTACTATATACACACACATGCGCGCGCGCGCATGTAAAAGTCCGGTACCGTGCTACGAACGTTTATGCAATGAGAGTGATATAAATCAAAATTTACTTCTATATGTATATATACATATATATATATATATATATATATATATATATATATATATATATATATATATATATATGCATGTATATATATAATGTATACATATTCGAGTTAATTTTTCATTAATAATATTGAGAAATAGCTATGTTTCGTAGCACCTACTAGACTAAATGTCCACGCAGCTTCTAAACAAAATACTTGTCCCATAACCGAATATTTGTGTATTGCCCCTAAACATCTCTCTGTCTCTCTAAACGAAACGGAAGGAGAAAAAAATAAAGTCGCGATGCTCTATTACGAGCGGACGCGGTTACCAGAGAGTCGCGTATGAAAGCTAAATATTGATTGACACTCTGCATCTTTGTACAATATGCTACTTAATGCTCACGCGATAATTATAAACTACAGACAAAACTCGGTATAGTTGTAATAACGATAGTTTTTAGAGAGGATATATAAAGATAATATAAATGTGAGAAAAGATTGAATAACGATATTGATATTAAAAGGAAGAAAATTACCATTACTGTAATATAAATTATTGCTCCTAGGGGAGATGAATAAAAGCAAAATGTTATAAAGTATAATAACATGTTTTCCAATATATCTCATTATATATAAGTTTTTGTTTTTTCATATAAAGCCTATATATCATACATACTATATATCAACGTGCTAAATTAACCAACTTGCAGTCTACACAAATAACACCTGTAACCATTTACATTGCACCAATGATTCATCAAATGTATACAAAATTACTTTTCTAATTATACTATTGAAAAAATAATTGTTTTACATGATGTTTATACATTGAAGTATATATACATACGTATATGTTATATATACGTATATATATCTTGCGCAGCATTATAATAATATTCTTTACAGTTTTGCCGATACAAATTCCATTTGCGTTTCATCATTCTGCACCACTGCTAGTCACTTTTTCAATACATTTTTCGCCTCGACGCGTTCGTCCTCCAGTTCCTGAGACGTAATATTCAGCTTTGATCTTGCAAAGCTGCTAATTGGAAGATCCTAAAAATTAGTTGTAGAATATTCAGTATTTTCACGTGTTCTCTTGTGCATCGTATCATTTATGAACTTAACTAATATTTGCTTTGAATTTTTTTAGTACAGGAGGAGAATTTTCGGAGTACGGATTATTCTTTACATAAAAATACAAATCACAGGAGGAAGAAAAAACGGAGAGAAGCATTGGGAATATTTGAGACATTTATGAATTCACAGGTTTAAATACTCCGCGTCGTCATAGCTTACCTGTACAATTTCGTATTTCTTGTCCTTGATAATAACAGGGAAAGAAAAGACGATGTCTTTTGGAATTCCGTAACTTCCATCGGACACGACGCCCATGCTCACCCACTCTCCGGGTTTAGTACCAAACCACCAGTCCCTCATATGATCCCCCGCAGCTTTCGCGGCAGACATAGCGGAAGACATTTTTCTAGCGATTATTACGGCAGCGCCGCGTTTCTGAATCATTTCCACGAAGGTCTTGTTTAACCATTCATCATCGTTGATTTCGGACGGTACGGGTTTTGCACCGGATGATTGTGCTACGGTCGCGTGCGCTGCATCAGGATATTGCGTGGAACTATGATTGCCCCAGATAATGACATTCTTCACTTTATCAACCTATCACATTAATACGATTATGTAACAATATAGGTATGTGTACAATGATAATGATAATAGTCTAACAAAATTTTACCTCTAGTTTAATAGAGAAATAAATATAAGAGAATTTTGAATTAATAAAATAATAAATATTACATATTTGTATATTTATTATTTTATTTCAATTAATATTTTCTTCTTATATGTATTTATATTTATTATATTTTAATATATTTCTATAGCAACTATAACTGCAGATATAAACTGCACAATCTACTAAAAGATGTCTTGAACTCGTCCAAAAGACATCCCATTTCTTTTAGGCATCTCTAAGACATTTTTTAGTAATTTCTGCTGTCTAGGATAGCTATTTTATACTTTTACAAGTATAAAATAACAATAATAATATAAAGCATGTATAAAGTATATTATAGGATAAACACTTTAAATATAAAGCAAAAAATTGTTCTACCAATGAGATATATCTTATCATATATTTTATAAAAAAATATATAGAGATATATTCTATCATATATATCTTATATAAAAATGGCGTAAGCACATACTTGTACATTCAAACGCGTAGCTAATGCAGCCTGCGCTCTATTCTGATCCAATCTAGTCATTGCAGTGAAATTCTCCTTTGGGATCGATGGTGCATAATGTGAACAGATAAGTGCATTGGTGTTAGCAGGATTGCCTACAACCAGCACTTTAACATCCTTACGGGCGTATTTGTCTAGCGCTTCTCCTTGCACCTTAAAAATTTCTACATTCGCAGCCAAAAGATCCTTACGTTCCATTCCTTCTTTCCGTGGCATCGCGCCAACCATAAAAGCAGCTGCTGCGTTATCAAAGGCTTTGGCTGGCTCAGCCGTTGGCAAAATGTCTACAAATTTAAACCGGATCGTATAACACCATCGAAACGCAATTCACTGTCACATGGTAATTATACAACGTATCCTAAACTTGGACTTTCAGCCGCGCATGCACGTATACAGATTAGTTAAATATATATTATCGAAACGTGCTCGGAAATACTAGGAAAAGTCTAAAGTATTATTTCTATTTTTCCAACGTTGTACTGCGGCGATTGTTTTTAATTCATCAATTTGCTTTATCGAATCAAGATCATCGAATTAAAAGTTATTTACGTGCTGACAGTAAGTTGTGGAGAAATAATTCGCACGGTTTTCGTAGTTATAAATAAGTGACGCGGCTAGCTAATAGTGGAGAACTTTAAATACCACTGAGAATCAAGAATGAGAAACTCAAATTAATCTTGTACTAGAGCCAACTTAAAATTAACATTTACAGCATCATGTTAAAGCAAAGCTTGTTCCTTAATTTGATTTTTCAAGTTTATAACGTTGAATAACTTTATTAGCTTCATCAGAAAAAAGAAAAATTATTGAAAAAAATGTTTTTATTTTAATTCTATTCTCAAGTTTTTACTTCAGGAGATGAACATAAAGATTATCAAGTTTATTCTGATCTCTCATAATAATTGATATAAAAGCATACAAGAATTATACATAATGAGTAAACATCTGTAACCTTTCTATAGAGTACAAATGTTGAAATATATATTAGAGATTTCTCTGGGATGTTTGGATATCCCTGGGATATTTCTAGAATATATTTTACACACTGGTGTTGTATGGGAAGCAATATTTTTATATACACTTGCATGTTTCTAATTTTCAAAGATCACACACCCACACATACATACATGCACATATCTCTTATATTACCTACCACGTAATAGAGGAAGTGCCAAGTCCTCCAATTCCATAACTACACCATCCAATACTTTCATCATAATTGGGATATCCAATAAGCGAAGATTAACAGGTTGTTCAGGACCAAAAACTGTACCTGCCGCGATCTGGTACAGTAGAGAATAGGCGATTTGCCCGGCAGCACCGGTAACCACAACATTTATAGGTTCAGCCTGCCAAAAAACCATAAAACAATTATTTTCTCTTAATAAATGCACCATATTATACTGAAAAGTACAGAGATTTCATATCATAATTATTATTTAGGCGGAAATATTAATTGTACATTATAGTATGCTATCGTATATAATTGTTAACTCGAAGAATAAATAAATAAAAATAAATCCTGATTAATTTTAATCAAGCATAAGCAGTTTAACTATCTCAATATATATTCCACAAAATAATATGTTCCACAAACAAATGGTTGAACTCAAGCTGGAGAAACGTTAGAAACGTACGCGCGTGAGTATTACACAAATTAATTTAAAATAGAATTCTATTCATGAAGGTCAAACAAAGGTTAAATCAGAGATAATTCCGCCATGATAATAACAATAACCCGAATTATCGACATAAATTATAAATTATGTTATTACAGAAACTCACCATTTTTCTCACAATATGTCCGATATTAATGAATGACACGAAAAAATTGCTCGATATCCACTCGAAATATTACGATCAATGGACAAGACAAATGGCGTAACAGGACTTTCGACACTTTTCGTGCTCTTTAGACTGGAATTGGACTGGAAATGCATTTAAACCGCTCGACTATAGAGTATGCGCTCTTTGATGTGATACCATACTTCACGTATCAGCACCGATTGCCACGTCCTCGGTTGTCGCTTGACTGAAATTTCGCCAACGTGTCACGTAGAAAAAACAGCAGTGACTTTCCTTTCTATATTGCGAAACGTCATGGACACTGAAGCCGTTTCCAACAAAGAACACAAATCCATTTTATTGGTTACACGTTATCTAAGATATTATCTGAGATAACAGGTAGCCAATAAAATAGTTTTGCGTACGTGGTGTTTCTTGCTGAAGACAATCTAAATCACTCTAGAAAGATCGAGAGGGGAATAATCTGGGATAATTTATTATTAGATGCCATGGTTGGTCATAGTGCATCGGACATTCCATTCTTTGGGTCTTTCGCTTCCTGTAAATCATGGTGAGTGAATCACGCACGTTTTTGCCTCGCGAATTATCAAACATCCTAATTCAAATGACCAAATGTATTCTCTCATCGCGAATTTCGTATATCCTCGCGATCATGTTCGTTGTTTCCGAGCGCGCGATCGCCACGTTTCACGGATATTCGCGACATAACCTCTGCCGCGTGAGCGTTTCTCAGCCACATGGTGCGTGTTGTAGACTTCTCAACTTTTTGTCGCCACGAGAGCATTGCTTTGTGTAAAATTATCCTTTACTTGTAGAACATATCGCATTCTTGAGCCACTCGAAGGAATAAGAGAAATAAGCATTAAATTTATAGTGCAATTTCTAATTCTACGTTAACTTGACATCAAATCAGAATTAAAGTTTTGCAAGTTTTTTCAGTTAGATTCATCGGGCGAGTCTTTTACTTGAGCAAAAGCTTGCTTTAAGTTCTTCAAACGCAGTATCTTCGTAGCATAACTTTGTTACAATTATAGGTTAAGTTAACGACAATAGAAGATGTAATGCGCCATGCTGTCTCAGTATATCTTAAATTCATCACTTGTGAAGAAAGAGTTAATATACATTAATAATAACCAATACTTCTTTTATTTGCAGCCATTCCAAAGGTTTGTGCAGTCAGGCCGTGTGGCCTATGTGAGCGATGGCATTCATCAGGGCAAACTGGTGGCTATTGTCGACATCATTGACCAGAATCGGGTAAGAACATTATATTACAATGTATCACAACGATATATAAGCATATATCATAGAATATGATATATAAATATATATTGAGATATAACAATATACTATATCACTCATGACTAAAGCCAGCAGCACACTGCGCTTGTTTTTGTGCTGGATTGCTTGCTGGATGGAAATATTCTGTTTGGATTAGTACATTTGTATGCATCTTCAAAAATGCATCAGAACAATATTTCCATCCAGCAAAAAAACAAGCATCATGTGCTATTGGCTTAAGATATTTCTACTCTGTAATGTTAAGAAGATTCATTATCTGAAAAGAGTTCAAGCTAAAGGAACTTGCATGTAACATATATTAAATTTATTTTAAGCACATATGAATATATTTTGATTTCTTCTGAGCTAGAAATTTTTCATGGGATATAGTCTAAATGATGATATAATTTTTTGATAGGAATTGCCGGCTGAATCTGGTGATGTTTACCAACTGTTCTGACAATAGCTGCAACTTCTTGCCAACAAATTCCTGCTATGATTATTTTGCTAAATTTTTATTCTCTTTTACAGGTTCTGGTGGATGGCCCAGCATCCAAAGTACCTCGCTGTGAGATGAGGCTTAATGAACTTCACCTGACTAAATTCCGCTTGCGTTTCCCATTTACCGGATCTACCCGTGTCGTACGAAAGGCGTGGCAAGCGGGTAACATTGACGAGTTGTGGAAACAAACAATGTGGGCTAGAAAAGTTGAAGCCAAGAAGAAGGTAAGTGTGTTCAGTAGCTTGTTAACTGTATTAAGGCCCTTGATCCATTGCAGCCATCTTAGATCGTGACGTCACAAACGAGGAAATACAAGCTCAAGATTCTTGCAAAGTATGTTGAATGAAGATGTGTCCATAGTGACATTTGTAGTATCGATTGATCATATTTTCAAAATATCCTGAGAATTCTTTTCACTTTAATAATTAGTAGCTATAAAATTAACATAATATACAACTTTTCAAGTACAAATATGCGAATTTTTCAAGTACATGATTTTGTTTCAACCTAAGATGGCTGCAACAAGGAAGAGAATTTATTTCAAATGATCTTATATATTGGACTTTTATATCTTCGATAACTGAAATATTTTAGTATCTCATGCTGAGTAATAAGAACTTTTTTTCTGTTTCAGCGTGCGGAACTTAGTGATTTTGACCGCTTCAAGCTGAGGAAAGCTAGGCAGATCAGAAATAGAATGCGAACAGAGGCATTCTATAAGTTAAAGAAGGCCAAGAAGGCTAAACCTGGCGATGCAAAAAAAGGCAAAAAGCAAACTGAAAAGTAATCTTTTTAATTAAATACAAAATTATTTCACAAAAACCTCGTTGTTTATAATATACCTCTTGTACGTTACGGGAAATCATCGATGGAGGAACTACTTGCTTTCTTTAATAATTTTAAGTAATGTTTACATAATATGATATTAAAAATTTATCATAACATGTTACTAAAAATATCACGAAGTACATTAAATGCAAAATTTACTAGATTAGTAGAAAAATTTACTAATAAATTTAAAATAGATTTTTTAAAAAGAGAATTTTGAAAAGAGTAGACAAATAAATTTGCATCTTATTTATTGCTTACGATATATAGGATGTTGAGGAAGAATACAGATAATATAAAAAAGAACAATAATATTATTGGGAAAATTTCAAAACTTTTTACTGACATTTATCCATGTACGTTGCATTATCATAGCTCAATCACCAATTAATATAAAATATAAATACAGATCTAGGAGGAATGAAACGAATGTTATAAATTAATTGTTCATTAAATAAGAAAAAAGCATTCCATTTCATAATCTACCTAGAAGTTAAGTTTCAATCAATTCACAATCTGTATTATATGATTGCAACGTTTTTTTGATATTAGATTATTTTACAATGTTCTTTTTATATTTTCAAATTTATTGCGATTTTTATCGTAAGCTTTGTATTTGCAAATTTGATTACAAATCTGCTTACCTCTCTCTTTTTTACATTTCTTCCGAATAATTTTATTAATATATTATGAAACATATGATAAATGAATGTTTATCATAATATGTACTGCAAATATATCATTTTTTTTTTAATTTACGCTGTAGATGATACAGCTAATTTCTTCAGATGCTCCATAAATATTTGCAAACTGACATCATCGGTTAAGACAGGTGCACCGCTCTCCTAGATAAAAGAGAGAAAAAGGATAAGTCAATTATATTATACCAATGAAATGTGCAAAGATACAATAATTGTGGCTTCTAATATTTTTAAATCTTTGCAGAAATGAGAGTAATATATATGACATTAATTTCTTAGAAATGTCTTTCACGGTAAAGGTATAATCAGCATTTTATATTAAGCATAAGCAAATTTTCCACTTGACTTCAATTTGAAAATAGTAATCTAAAAATTATTTACAAACGCGTAAAAAAACTATTTGTAAAATACTTTATGGCAAACAAGGGACATGCCATATATTTTAAGATAAATTTTATTAAAAGATCACACTTTTACATTAGCCATCACCAAATATAAGCTAAATATTGCAAAGGTGCAACCTATAAATAGTGCAGAATTATATTATCTTACATGGCAAATATCTGTAAAAATTGAAGCCCAAACTTCGACGTCGTTGAACAGTTAAGATGCATTTACATTTCATTACAAATTGCTCAAAGTTTGCTCTTTCATATAATTAAATAATTTATTTTAATACAATATGTGTGTGTATGCCGCGATATTTTTATTAAATGTAAGATAATCAATAGAAATATTCAATTGTTGGTAACGTCAAAATTTGAGCGTAAGAAATCAGTATTCCACAAGCTGTTAAGTGTATGTTTAATCGCAACACGTGATAACACTTGAATTTTTGTCGATGTTCTTGCAAAAGTAAATAATTCAATTGCCTTAAATCTAAATAAAAATAACGAGGTAAATTCTGTAACGGAAGAGGAGTTGTGTGTTTTTACCAGTATCAATTGCCCCTGAGTGACCCGATCACCAAAGAAGTTGAGAAAAAGGGAGAGATAGAAGAAAAATAGATAGATAAATAAATAAAATAACACACCCCATTGGGCATCGGCATCCCCTAGTTCACAGGATCGTGGTAACATAAAAAAAATATTAGTTACAAATGATATGAAACTTAAATGAACATTTATATAAATTGCCCCTCTCATTATTACATAATATTCTTTAGTTAGAGATTTTTTTATTAATTTAGGGAAAAAATAGAATCAAGTTTTTTATAACATAAACTTAATAGAGCACGTCGATGAAAATTCAACATCAAATCAATTAAAAAATTCAAATTCATAGGCATTTTGGAGAATCTTCTGTAAAGAATAAGTATTAAAAAAATATATATACTTTTTTTATACTTACCGCGCCGTAAGCATACATATTATTATGGGTTTGGCTCGGATTGACTTTGCTCAGTAGAAATCTAGCTTGAGATCCGCCTTGTTCCGTATCAATATACCGCGGTGCGGGAAATCTGCCGGCTAATATTTCGGCTGCGTCGTCAACGGGCGCTGCCAATAACTGCCTGAAGTTCTCATATTCCGGCAAGTCTTGATACTTCGACTGCCGCCACTGTGCGATGGTCTGCAATAAATTAAAAATAAATCAAACACGTGCGCATACATACATACTACATGTAGATTATATTCGTTCACCAGATAGCTCAGTCAAACTGAAAACTTGATTACTCACTTCTCCGTGAAATATAAGTATCTGGAAAAATGTGTCCATCAATAAAATTCTTTCGGCTTGAATGGATGAGGTATCTAGTAATACAGGTTCTGGGGGCCCGTTGAATCCATAACTATATAAGATCGGTTGAACCATAATTAAAGAATTCGTTAAATCCTCACGCATAAGCATATGCCTGAAAAATATACGAGAGATCTATATTGCGAGATGATAATCTGGAGCATGATGAGAAAATCCAACCCCAAATATTAAGGCTCCTGGGGAGTCGCATCATCCATCTCTTTTTAATGACGTCAGAAGCGAGAAAACGCATGCTAAAAATTCCTGCAAAATACGTCGAGATAAACAGATATATCTACAAAACGACATTTGCGATCGATTAAGTACACCTCTAAAATACTCCGTACACTTTCCTTTTGTTCTAACAATCAACAGATAATTATAAAATAAATGTGATGTGCAATCGTCTTTTCTAACCTAATTTCCTCATTATCTTGTCATATTAATTTTCCGATTATCTATTGATTTTTAGAACAAAAGGAAAGTGTACGGAGTATTTTAGAGGTGTACTTAATCGATCGCAAATGTCGTTTTGTGGATATATCTGTTTATCTCGACGTATTTTGCAGGAATTTTTAGCATGCGTTTTCTCGCTTCTAACGTTATTAAAAAGAGATAGATGATGCGACTCCCCAGGAGCCTTGAACATCATCCGTCTCGTGCAAGCAATAAAGCACCTGTAGAAACTGGTCTCATCTGGCGAATTATTGAACACCTGTAAAAACTGCGATCTACGCAAATGATACATGAATTGTGGATATAAGGAGAAGTTCTCCGCCAATCTAAAGCTATTTGGATCGTCCTTGGCGTAGTCTCCGAACTTTTGGCACTGCAAAGATAAAGGTTCACATCTTAGAATGTATAAAACACGTATGTAATGCATAATTCACATAAATTTCAACAATGGAAAATATACTAACGAGTCTAATCAACATACGATCGACCCATCTTAGCACATCCGGCCCGTCATCGCTTTCCGCTCTGAATACAGCTAAGCGTGACATGAGAACGGCCGCTGCCTCCTGATCGAATCCTGCGCTCACATGATGCAAGGACGATGACACATCTGCCCAACTGCAGCGAACAATATTTTATTGCGACATTGTAATCTCGTGAATTACAACACAGAATCGGTGAATGCTTACTTTCTCGCGATAGTCGTGACTCTGATTCTCTTCTGACCACTGCTATGTTGATACTGAGTAATGAATTGAATGCAGCCTCTTCCACCTTGTGGGATCGGCGCGGTATGTTGATTCACAACCTCGAAGAAAAGTGAAGTAGTTGTGGATGGTGTCAAGGAACAGAACTTCCACTGACATGTGCCACCCAACCCTACTTCCTGTTCTCCGACGCTAGCTCCCTTCACTCCCAATGACACGCAAGGACCGATTGCCCCGGAGACTTTAATTTCTCGCGAGGTTTTCACCTCTAAAATGGCGTTGAATGCCATCTTCAAGTCACCCTTGGAGTCTTTGGCGAACACTCGTTGGAAGGTTTGCTTAAACAAGGATGAATTGAACGAATCTCCCATCACCATATGACCACCGGTAGAATTGCAGCATTGTCGCATCTCCAGCAAACCGGTTTGATCGAGAGCACAGGAATATATGTCTATAATGTGGCCGTTGGCAGCGGCGCGCGACGCCAACGCGTCGTAGTGCTTCATCGCTTTTTTCATATGCTTAGCATTATCCTTTTGAATATCGTGATGCGATCTGATCGGTTGTCGTAGATCGTCAGTTACAACTTGACCGGGTCCTTGAGAACACGGCCCTCCAACAAACAGCATAATCCTTAAACATGAGAAACAAGTGATGACATTGACTATAGTATTAATATATACATAGTAATAATATTATGTATAATAGTTCAGTATAGTTTTTTATATTAAGTATAATGTAGTGAGAATTTCCTAGTGAGATATCTCACAATATATTTCCATTTATATATCAATATATATCAATATATATATATATATATATATATATATATATATATATATATATACATATATATATATATATATATATAAAATATTTATATAAAATATGTGCAAAAGATTTACTGTACTTGTCAAACAATATTTAAAAAAAATCCAATTTTGAAATATGGACAAATTTTATAAACGAAATAAACAAAACTTCGAGTATTGTTCAGGCATCCCAACAAAATTCTTCCTTTGACACCCAAATCAGTAACTTTGTGTGAATTTAACATGAATTACATTATGAATGAAACTTTTGCACTGATGTAATATGTAAATACCTAGCGCCAGTGTTCGCGTAACTAGCTTCCAAGAGACCCGTAGCAACGGCTAACGCCACACCGGTGGATCGCAATGGGCGCTTTCCTGGTCCTACGGGCCACGGGTCACGTTGTAGCTCTCCTAAAAGATCTGTCAAGTTCATGTCACACTTATGCACCGGCTGTATGAACCGATTGGCCGGCGGCAACGGTTGCGTACCGGGTCCTCTCGGTTGGCCTGGATTTTGTCCTGGAATCGGTCTACCTATACCTGCGAAATACGACCGAGGCGCGATTAAACAAACGTGAATCGCGTGCGAACAGCACTGAGCTCAAGTTAAAACTTAACTTTTACCTAACATATCTTGAACCTGTTTCGGTTGCAGATCCTTCGTCCCACGGAATACATAACTCTTGCTGCAGCCGTCGCAGCCCAACTCGTGAACTTGAACCATTCTGCCGAACGTAATAAGGCCAATCAGAGCGTTGGGTGGAAGTAAGGACAGTGACATTTGTAGAGAATCTTTGAGTGCTCCCAATTCTTCATCGTCCATGCACGTATCCACGACGAACAGGAATATCGGTGGTAAACATTGAGCGCGCTAAGTAATGAGAATATCAGATGTAAATTCATTAGGATTTGAGTCTCGAAGTGAGTATAATTAGTACAAGTAAATGCTTTTGCTTCTCATAGAAGTAAACACACTTTTATGTTTACATATATATTTTTTTTATATATATATACTTTATATATATATATATATATATATATATATATATATATATATATATTTAAAGCATTTATATTACTTTTAATTAATAAATAAAAACAAAAGTTTCATTCTCTCTCTCTCTCTCTGATTTATATCTATAGCTTACCATTATTGTATACTCGATTGTTGAAAACATTGGAACAAGTTCTGCTGGCTGATGTTGTTCTGTAATTGCAGCATAATGTGGTGGAAACTATAACAAAGCATAAATACATAAGTACCAGATTACATTACTTTTGCAGGTAACAAACATATACTTAAGAAGGAAAATTGTATACAAAATAGATTTTACAATTAATAGTGCAGGATTCCCCTCTTACAGGATTTCTCTGGAAGCAAAGATTGCAGACCCATAACTTGGCACGATAGTCCACTTGGCACAATGGATTTAAGATGGCCCTACAAGTGGACCTTGTGCACAAGACAGGATCATATTGAATCGGTGGAAGATCAGCTCGTTCTTTGATCGGTTGGTACAAAGTGCCAAGTGGTACAACGAGTCTGGTAGCATCAATACGTGATGACGGCCAAACGTTCCATGTAAAACGCACGCCGTCACGATCCTCATTCTGTTGAATAAAATCTTCGTATGTTGTCATGGTGCTGCAAAATAAATATATAATTTACACATTTCTGTACTCTACAAATACATATTCCATACATATATTCTATATGCCACAATATGAACAACTCTTGGCCAGATTTTGGGCATTGCTACTTTTGTAGAATTCTCTCATTTTTTATATAAAATATAGAAAAACGAGATTGTTACAACAGGTTAGTTGTTAATTAACAGATTCATACATACAGTCGCTTTCAGGGAGAAACGCAAATTGGTCAGTGCCGTTACGTTTGCCGTACACGATGATGCTGCTAATGTTCACTTGGCCATTTTACCACACATACGACATTATTAATCAAAAAAATCCTATAAATTCTTGACCAAGATATTAACGATCCTCTGTCACCGGAGGCCACGTCACTTGAAAGATAAAACGCATGCGCCAATCTGTGTCTTTCGTGTCAAGAAAATTGGAACACGATTCAAGAAAAGAACTGAGAAGGGAATGTCCAGATGTTATTTCTGCACCCAATGCCGAGATTTAAATCGCTCGATTGACTACGATATGATTGGACACAGAATGGGTGCTTTCCAGTTGCGTACATTGTGGTTGCTTTCCAACAAGAGACACAAGTATCACCCTATCTTTGTTTCTCACTAGGGTGCGTTCAGATTTTTCATCCGGGTGGAATCTGAATGCAGCCCTAAATGTGGAACCAGGATAGAATGATGTTTGTGTCGACTTGTGTCTCTTGTTGGAAAACAACCAAAGTGATTGGTCAATTCTTACGGTACATCTAAGGCTGCGTTCAGATTCCTTACCCAGGTGCACTCTAATACAAGAAGTGCTATAGTATATGTGACATATACTATAGTGTTTCTAGTAACAGAGTGCACCCGGGTAGGGAATCTGAACGTGCTCTTACATTACTGTTATGTCAATTCGTGTGCGGCGCCCCTAAGCCTTAAAAATTGACCAATCACAGTCAAATTTAAGGAGAATAATCGATTGTGATTGGTCAATTTCTTAAGGCTTAAAGCTTATTACACCTATTGTGGCTCGGGACGAAGTTTATCTATCGACCCGCTAGTTATTTCGCGATCGCGCGCCATCTTTGAGTTCGTTCTTTGAAATTGTTCAATTTCAAATTGTATACGTTACGATTTATAAGGAGATCATGATGAAATGTTTGGACGAGGTCTTGCCGCATGTTCAAGCTAGCGAAGTTAGATTATCGTATGTGGAGGAATTATTCCCGGATCTGAAGGGTAAACCATATATCGTTCTTCATAAAAATGTGAGCGAGCGAAAGGGAATTTGCGCTTCTACTCTGCGCGATCTCGATTGATGCTAATGACATAATCGTCTGGTTTAGATTCCCGGCACACCACAATCCGCAAGTTGCAAAAAGAACGAGGAAAAGAATTTCGATGAATACTCCGCAAGTAATATATAAATATATCTAAAGATCTAAGAATCCTTCGTATTCCATTAGAAATACATAGTGTCTGAAATGTTATTCAGGGCATGATGTCAGTGGTTCACCTCTGGAATTTTCATTCGGCAATTGCGGCTTCGACGACACGATTATCACAACGAGACACAATTGGCGTAAAGAAGAGGAGTCGTATTTGCCATTGAGTAGAAACGATGCATGGTATGTACAGAAATACTGATTCTCTCAAGATGTTTCTACTTCTAAGTTCTAATCCAATGATATAAATATCTTTTCAGCAATGCATTGAACGTGTATCTTGAACAGTTCAATGGTGATACTTTGCCAATATTAGCTCTTTGTGATGGAAAAGATCCTAAACAAAGCAGGCTTATCGGCAGTATTGTACATGATAATTGGTTCACTACATTAGAAGCAGTCTTTCTTGGTGTGATGCCTCAAGCTGCAGTAAAAAGTAATTGCCAGAGAATTATACAGAAACATATCAAGCGTTCTGATGTACAAGAGCATGATGTATGTAATGGATAATGAGTTTGTCGATTTTATATGTATATTACTAGAAATTATACTATTATACTAGAAACTTTATTATTATATTATTAGAAGTTTTACCAAGTATCATTTTGTTTAGATTAAAATGTCTGTGCTTAATACCTTTGATTTGTTTGGTATCAAACAAGAAAAAATTGATTGGGATAAAGTTGCCAGAACTGACTTTGAAGGAAGTATGAACATAGAAATGCACTCTGGTAGCTTGGTGTTAAATCCAAGATTATCAAAGAATATACTAGTATGTATATAAAAAATATGCATGTATAGGTTGTTATACTTATCATATTATAACATGTGGTGTATAATATGAATATATATATATATATATATATATATATATATATATATATAAAATTTTGTTATATATTATTGTAAATTTAATATTTTTTTTGTTATCATCTAACAAAAGCAAATCTTTTTGCAGATAATTCAAACAAATGCCAGCTGGAAAGATAGTCCTTTGAAGGAGCAGCGGTCTCAATTACTTTTGTTGAGTCAATATTTATTGATAATAGATGAGTATCAGAAAAACATTAGATTGCAAAATTCAGTAAAATTTACAACATCATATTTAGAGGTAAACAGATATACTTCTACTTTTTTTTAATAAATTTCATAATTATTTTCGATATCTCTTTCAACTACATATCGATATTGCAGGGACATGATGTCATAAGCGAAAAACTGAATCTTTTGATGAACGGCAATATCACATTTTGCAAATCCAATAAAAACAGTGTCAAGAGAATCGACTGTAGAAAGAAAGAGAATGTCGAGGACGACACGAAGCTGTCGGAACGCGTACAAGATGTATCCTCGAGGCACGACATGGACTTCACTGACCATTTGTGGGAAATACTTATCGGTGAATAAACATTTCCTATAAGTGAGTTATCATAAGATATATTCTGCACGTTTGTTTCGACTAATCATACATCTCTCTCTTAAAAGCAACTTCGGAGTACCCGCAGATGATAAGCTATATCGAGACGATTCTACGAGAGATTCTTGAGCACAGATTTGTGCCACAGGTAACTTATTAAAAATTCTATCCGCCTCAATAACGATCTAATGAGAAATTTACCAAGAAATTTACTATGTAAATATATTGCACATTTGTTAGGTCAACGACACAAACTCCACGAGAATAATCAAACTCGCCTCCGATATGCGTGGTCAAGAGATGACGTCTTTTATTAGTCGTTTATTGCTAGGAAGCGCACCGTTAGAACTCGTCGTGGACGCGGGCTTTGAGAAGCTCACCCGAGATTATTTGTACATTTTAAAAGGAGCGCGGCTCGTCGATCTGTACGACATCCGACAGAAGTTGGCCGATGTGTCATCCGGGACCTTCAACACGGAGAATTATAAGTGAGATAGAATTATAAAATATTAAATATAATTCCTCTCTGTGTGTATGTATATATATACACGGGAATTACATACTTTATGAATTGAACAGACTGAATTCTCAATGAACTCTGTGTAGTCACGGTTTTATTGATTAAATCGCAGAAAGAAGTTGCTCACGTTGGCACAAATTCACATAAGTTTGGAATGCATGCTGCTTGTCGAGACACATCTGGAATGCCCAGCCGAAAGTTTGCAGAGCGTGTTCGCTCACGTGTATAGGGAGTTTGTCTCTGAGCTTTCCCCGCTGCAACATCACGCCGAACTCTGCGGCCGAGTTTACACTTTAACGGTGCCGCTCTCGGGAGCGATAATCAACGAGTTAAATATCTTAAAGACGTACGTAAACCTAACAAGTATTATAAAATCACGGTGAACAAAGTTACAGTATACAGAGAGTGTGTATTAGCGATCTGTCTTGTATTCAGGAATCCTACTTTGTGGAGAGCCACTCTCTCGTCTCATTCCGCCGCATCGACGTTAACTACTACCACGTTTTACAGCAAAATGCCTATTTTTCCAACGAATATTTATTCTACAGGTAAATTAGAAAGAAATGAAAGTAAAGTAAATAATAGAAATCGTTTAAGCGTCTGTGTATTTGTATGATATATGTACAATCAAAATAGTGGCCATATGATTTCCCTAGGAGCGAAAAAGTGAAAAGTTTTATATCCTCGTAGTTCGAAAAGTTGCATAATCGTTCAAATTACAGACTCCATGTGAAACTTCTCGCTTTCTATGTTTGCGAGTAAAATGACATTATTGCGCTACTCTGGACTCTACTCGTTTTGTTCATTCCATTTATGTGTTTGCTTGCAGACGATGCGAATGCACAAGAGGAGATGGTTCACGGTGTAAGTGCTACGTCGTCTTCGACATGGTTTAAAAAACTACGAGATACGTGAGCTGAAGTGGTATTCATGAAGCGAAACAAAACGAAACTTCAGAATTGGTGCGCTTCGAATGAACGGGGCGTAGTGCGAGGTAATGAAAGGTTTAATTGATAATTAATAAAATCAAAATTATAAGAGCATCCTTCTCAAATACATTACATGTATTAGAGATATATATAAATATAAACTACATTTATGAGTGTTTGTACTCTCAGTCATTGACAATTATACACTCGAGCATGCTATTAGTCCATTCTCTGTGATTGACACACACAAATTTTTTATTATAAATATTCTATTGCGAAGTTATTTTTTTTTAACTTTCTTTTCCGTTTTCCGTCTTTAAGAATTATTTTCAATGTACAAAATTACGTGTTGTTATATATTTAAAATTTATTATAACTTTTAAATATGTGTCGTATTTAAAAACTTCTCATTCAATTCGGAATGAATTTCGTGTAATCAATATTAAAATGATTTCGACTGTCGATGCGCGTTATAAACTTTTTACACTTATATATAATTCTTTTTTTCCATACAGCTAACGTTACTATAGAGAATAAATCGTTACTGCATTCCAATCTCCCGTTTCAACATACTTTGGCTGCTCTCCTCCGAACGAATGTCACTCTTAAAAGCGATAAAATCTCTCTCCTTCCTCTTAATGAGCCACTAAAAAAACGAGAAGCATGGCTTTCTACGTATACCGTAAGTACACCAGTATTCTCAATAGCGAAAAGACGCAGGCAGAGTTGATTTATAAGGCATTACTCTCCTCTTCATCGCCTTTAATACTAAGACGCGTCCGCGTCATCCATTCCGGAGACACTAGCTTGCTCCAATACCTCGAGTAGCTTCTGCATTTCCATTGAGTCGGACGAATTATCCAGCGTTTTCTCCAGAGCTCGCACGTACGACATGCACGTGCGTCCCTCATGATCGAGATTCTGCGGGTTCGCTTTGTGCTGAAAAGTTCCCAACAAACATGCTTGTTATAGCTCATAGTGGACAGATCACGAAGAGTACGCGTGGTTGTGCAAAGTCCATATTAATTAAAGATTAGAACTGAATAGTCAATTTTGAAAATCAATTTTGATCTTGTCTTGTGCCACACAATTGGTCAAATTGTAATTTTTAATTCGCAATTTTCAATCTTTAATATCTAGTCTGTTATGAATTTGACAAATACGCACCCATATTAAAAGCTGCGCCATCGCCAAGTTTCCGGTCGCGCAAGCCAGATGTAACGGTGTTCGCAGATCTTCCGGTTCGTTGACCGGCATATTAATGTCTTCGTAGCTGCACCGGGTCAAGCAGAACGTAAACACTCTCATGTTTCCCCTGTGTACACAAAACTTGATAGAATCTCGCTAGGTGGGAACGGAGAATTAATCTCCCGACTGCTGGATTCTTTCTGACAGAAAGAAAGTAGGATCTCGTAATTTTGAACGCTTGACTCTATTTTTCTGAGATCGCTCAAGCTTTGAGAAATTTTCTAAGATTCTTCTACATCATATAAACTATCGCGGTGTTTAGTACAATTACGAAGTTAATCTGAGAGTCGTCGAGAAAACGTGAGAAAGATCTTACCGACAGACCGAGTCGATGAGCAACTTCCCCAGGGGAACGTTCGGGTTGATCGGCGGTAAGAAGAGCTTGTCCTCATACTTCCATCTAATCCATTGCTCTTTCTCCTCCCTGGACGAGTCCGGGACTGGTTTCTGTTTACCGTTCAAGCAATACTCCCAGATGCTATTGGCTATGTTGTTGCCAAGAGCCAGCATGACGCTTAGGTGACCTGCGCTAAAAGCCGTCGTTGAAGATGTATCGTTGAGAACGAAATGTAGTCGGGTGTCTATGAGCATAAGTCGCGGGGAAACTCGCGTTATACTTACGACCAGTCATCTAGATCCAAAGATCGAACCTTGGATATATGCGAACCCAAGTTCCTATGGATGCCAGAGCATTCGATGCACATCAGGACGCCCAGATTGAGACTAGCCCAATCGGGATCTGAATGTAGGGAACAGACGCGTGTATTTTGATCATGCGATTGGCAATTGATCGAATCGAGATGGAGAAAGATAGCTCTACTCACTCGGCGCACCGCAGTCAACACACGCGTCATTTCCTGAAACTTTGTTCTTTATGCAATGCATCTTGAAGGCGTCGGTCTCATTCTTCTTGTCCCCATCGCTATTTTGCAAACTCGACAATATCTGTTGTTCAATCGCGCTGATCCAGCTGTCTCTATCCTCGGCACTGTTCGCTTCAAAATGCCACGTTTTGTTCTCCAGGGAAATAATGGAAAATTCGAAACTGTCTTCTGAGAACACACGTTCCGCGGTTAGAGATAGACAGCACGATGGAAATGTTAAGTGTATGTAATATTGTTGATGTTAATGTCTGGGTATCTGATTATTTTACAAATTATCTGGGTATTCGAATAATTAAGCATTTATAACTGACTATAATTATATAATTTTTAATATAATTATAGGAATAGTTATATATTATATTAATAATTATATAATTATAGCAATAATTATATAAATATAGTTGCTAAAATAATGACTATGTTTTAGAAAAACAAAAGACAAAAAGTTGTCACAAAGATCAATAATATGTAGTGGTAGACAGTTATTTTAACAGCGACTTTTGCTTCCAAAAAGCCGATTGCTTCTGAGCATTATTCGAGTAGCTGGATATTATCTGTGAGTTTGAATATCATAGATACTTACACGTAAATCTGCCTTACACTCCAATTTCTTTTTAATTTTATTCTAATTTTATAATTAGAATGGTTCGTGTCTTAGTTACACCGATTTTGTTAAAATTATTTAACTATATCTTGTATTCGATTTTATTTCTTATGCATTTTTGTTGTATTTGTTGATGATAAGAGTGAGAACATTAAAAAGCTATAAACTGCCCGTGAAACTCAGTGGACTAAAATAAAAAAATATGATCTAAATATTTTTTGTACTTCTACATTTGTGCGAAATTAGAAAGAAATTGGAGTGTACCTTTTAGATAGGTTTACTTGTTAGCTATCTAACCATAGAAGTTATTCGGCTCATATTGACACCACGTGATTACCTTGAGCGCTGTATGACTTGGAGCCTTTCGGCGTTTTGCCAGGTACCTTCACCGTGACGTACTGTAAGAGTATCTCTTTACCGTTGGTGTCGTTCATGTAATCCTGAAAATGCTCTCCCTTCGTAAGTGTGTCGCACTATCGGACAGCGTGAATGAAATATAAGAGATATCTACGTGCAAGCTCGAGTGGTAAGTCAAACGGCCGTCTTCCAACAACGTGACGTATTTCTTTTTCCATTCCTTCAGGGATTTACTGCTCCGTTTGAACAGGTAGCCTTGCTTGACCGGTATCTCTCTACCAACGCCCATCTCGCCCATATACTTTTCCTTTTTGGAAGGTGTGAATATATTCGATTTTCTTCGAAACTTCCTGAATTCAAATTAAAATTAGAAGAATTATGGCGATTAATGATCGAGTCGGCAAAAGCGCGGAGAAAGTAGAAGGTAATAGAAAGAAAAAAAACGAAATGTCTTGCACCTAATGGTAGTCGGAGTCAAGATCGACGTTCGCAATTCTCCATGTTGGTTCTGCATATTGTGAAAATTGTCGTTTAGCAGTCCCGAGTCGTTCGGCATTGAGCTGTTATGAATGGATCGGCAGTCCTCATCTTTCTCCGAGGTCTGTCAAAAAATGCGAAAGATTACTAGTTCGTGATTCTGAATGATTTTCGCGAAAGACATAATAGTAGCAAGATAGGACTCGGACTCACGTTCGCCTTCAACGAATTCGTGCTTTCCACCTCCTTATTGTGAAGATTGTATGCGGTTTTAGTGATAACCGGCACTGGAAATTTAATATCGCTCTCCGTGCTGTGCTGAGATACATCGCACGAGAAATGTTTCGTGGATGAATTCTGTATAATTTTTTGACACACTGAAATTGTCATTCGTGTCGTTAGAATAACAATCGCGCTTTAGCTCCGGGCAACGCAATACACATAATCTCCAAGTTTTAAGATTGCCAGTTCCACTGCTGCAGATCATTGGACTAATGACGTCAGAAGCAAGAAAATGCCAAAAATTCTTGCTTGCTACTTCCAGATAAAAATATATTTGTACAAAAGAACACTTCGAATCACTTAAGCATTTTACAAGTACGTTCAAGACATCTCCAGTGTTCTTTCACATCTTTTTATTTGAAAATGGTATGTGTTCTCTTACTTCTGACGTTATTGGTCCAGGTTTCGACAGCAGTGAGATCAAAAACCTTAATATCGAGTTTTTACTCTTTCATAAAATATTCTTACCATCTTGAAATACTCTCTCGACATTTAAGCCGTAAATGGCGCACGTCTCGTAGTAAGGACATCTCAAGTCACAAGCCAATTTCCGCGGCTTAACGTCTTTTATGACACGTGGATTACTGTCGTTAATTGAGTCTACAAGGTAAACAGTGTTCAGCAAAATAAGATATCGCAGCTGATAAGATATTTCTGCAGAATAAGAAACATATATGCAAAGGACACGCACCTTGTACACCTACAAGTATTTTTGGTACCTCTGACATATTTCGGAAAGAACACATTCTATTGTAAAAACCACAAACTATTGAGAAACTCTCCTCATTTTCTAGACTGAATACTAGTAATAGAGCATCTATCCAAGCAGAGAACTGAAAGCAATGATGCATTTAATATGGTATGTCTACTAGCTGCAGTACAGTATAAGACATAAAAGAGGACAACTTTCTCTTATACCTGAGCTTCAGGCACACCACCCTCGTCCCTGATTAAAAGAAGATAACTCTGATCATTGATGAAGACTTCTTTTTTAAAACGACCACCTTCTGGTGACTCCTCGTGCATGAAGGAGCCTGTGAGGTACCTGTGAACAAGGGCTGATTTGCCAGAGTCTGAGGAACCAATAATTCCCAAGTGTAACTCTGGAACATCCCTTGCCAGTGTCCATTCATGACTGTTGACGAAAGAATCTGAAGGAATTCAAGTCTATATTGTTTCAAGCAATACCACAATGATGTAAATTTATCTTGTAAATAGCCATACTTAGGCTGTCATTGGTTCTTCCTATTTACAATAATTTTAGTAAGTTAACTTAGTATTACATGTATTTTTATTATGTGTCACATTGTATGATTTTACTGCAATTATGCAGGTAACAGACGCAGAGAATATACGGCAATGAAGTACCTTCAATTGCCACGACGTGCTCGCGAATTTGCTTGGCGATGTGCGCGTCAGGTACCAGATCGATTAGATCGTAAATGGCGTATATCGACGGATGAACACTCTCGAAACGTTGTATTTCTTGCCTGATAGCGAGAGAATGATCGTGCCCACTCTGGCCAGTTGTCATCGTTCCTCGTTCGCGTACGATTTCACCAGAGACGATCGATCCAATTACACCAATAACATAGCTACGAAATCGCGCGTCGGCAAGCGACTAGATCTCGCGAGTGAACTCGGGTGAACTCCACGCTCGTCATATAACATATGTCAAATTCGAGTATTTATAAACATTCCTCGCGGAATCGTCGCGGTTGGTTATGTGACACCCTCGTATACGCGCTGATATCTCGCCTCCCCTCGGGCACTATTCTATTCGTTACGGCGTTCAGATCGACGTGCCGATTGGCTGTCGGCTTGGGGAGTTTCGGAACGACACCCGAAGAATTCCCAAACGAAAATTCCCGGAACTCCGAAAATTCTCTTGTGACCAACCAATCGGACAGCTGGATTCGACGTCCAAGATATTTTCAAGTCTATCGTGACGCATCTAGATATTCGTGCATTATGACTGTTTTTCGTAAATTGAACAGTGGCGCCATTTGGCGTTTAGAAGCTTCTGGAGAACACATGTGTGTCGTATAAATTTTTAATTAGCAAAAAGGTGACAGAAAGAAACGTGGTCTTTTTTTGAAGTTCAAGCTAGAAAGGTGGGTTTAAATATAAACAACATAAGGAGAAAATACTATTTTCAACTGTTATCTTGTGCCTGAAAGTATTTAGTATTTAATAACCACATATTTGGATAATCTTGATAGTTATTCGATGAACGGGATAATTTTCAGTTATATCGGACGATACTTTTTTAATGGTGTATTTTGAGTATTTCTCATGTTATCTTTATAATCGTGTCGTCTGTATTTCTCTCATATTTCAATCAGTGATTAGATGCTCGAGTATAACCTAATGTACCTCAAAATGGCGTCTTAGATGTAACAAGTAGAACTTTTTTCAAATCGATTTTTATAAGTTTTGGCGGCTGTACTAATAGAATATTAGTGAACAAAGTATAAAAGATAATTTGAATGTTAGCTCATGACAGTCGTCTAGATGTCCAAGAGTCACAAAGTGCTTTTGCTGCCACATGGCGAGCTGACACGTAGTGCGCACGCGTCTTTCTGTTCAAAATTAATTGAATAAATTTTCTTTCGTCTTAATTTTCGCGTTTCTTTACATTTTAGTATCTAATAACCAGATACAACTCATTACTTTCTGTTATTATATATTTTAACATTAAATATTTTTCTTACAGGTGCAATTAGATCTGAAGACAGACTCAAACAGAATGAAGACAACACGACCCACAGAAAATGTTCCTCCAAAAAGTAATATTTTATATCATACGAATTACTTATATGAGACCTTAATAATGTTTGCAACACATGTATGATTTATATATAAGTGATTTATTATGTGAAAATTAATAATGATAGTCTGTGTAAATTTATTAGAGAAAAGGAAGCTTTTACAAATAACCAAGAAACTGGTAAGCGCAGAGGAAACATCAGTTTCTGAGGAGAAACAAAAATTGAAGATGACTGAGGAGCTTTCCAATGACAGTGCAACTACATGTGAAAATAGTATGTACTTTCATAACCTAATTACTACTTAATTTCTTTCATCCATTTTTTTTTTATTTTATGCATTTTAATACTAATTCACTTATATGTTACATAACTATATTAACAGTTGGACAATATTTTAATATTGTTTAATAATATGTCGATATATTTTTGTTTAGCACCTGGCACAACCTTGGGTTTACAAGTAGTATTTGACAAGAGCTTCTCAGTATTGAATGAAAAAGTATGTGAGAACACACTCAAGGCGATCAACGACATGAGCTTTACAGAAATGACAGAGATACAGGCGAAATCCATCCCACATCTTCTCGAAGGGAGAGATCTGGTGGGCTCTGCTAAAACCGGATCTGGAAAAACTCTGGCCTTCCTGATTCCTGCAGTCGAGCTCATTTACAAACTGAAGTTTATGCCACGTAATGGTACGTAAAACCAACGATATTGTCGACGTTAAAATATCGGGGATAACTTGCGAAATAAGATTGTGTTGGTCATTATCACAACTATATGGTTGTTTTTGCAGGTACTGGTTGCATCATTATATCCCCTACGAGAGAATTGTCCATGCAAACGTTCGGAGTTTTGAAGGAACTCATGAAGTATCATCATCATACATATGGTCTGGTCATGGGCGGTGCCAGCAGGCAGACAGAGGCGCAGAAGCTCGCGAAAGGAGTGAACATCATCGTGGCTACGCCAGGACGACTGTTGGATCACCTGCAGAATACCCCGGATTTCATGTACAAAAATCTGCAGTGTCTGGTCATCGACGAGACTGATCGAATCTTGGACATTGGTTTCGAGGAGGAGATGAAGCAGATTATTAACATACTTCCGAGTTAGTAGCATATCAGAATATACGTTACATATCTTTCTTATTACTACATATTGCTTTCTTATGCAGAACGAAGACAGACTATGCTCTTCAGCGCGACGCAGACAGAGAAGGTAGCCATGTTGACGAAGTTAGCCATTAAGAAGGAGCCTATATACGTGGGAGTGGATGACCACAAAGATGAAGCGACCGTAGAGGGCTTGGAGCAAGGTTACCTAGTGTGTCCGAGCGACAAGCGATTCCTGCTGCTGTTCACATTCCTAAAAAAAAACAAAAAGAAGAAGATAATGGTGTTCTTCAGTTCCTGCATGTCTGTCAAGTATCATCATGAACTTCTCAACTACATTGATCTACCAGTAATGAGTATACATGTAAGTGATTGAATTTTTCTTTTTTATGCTGCGCTTTTTTCAAGCCGCAGCATTCTCCAGTAGAGATTTGCATGGAGATTAAATATTCGCTTTTTGACAACAGGGTAGGCAGAAGCAGGTGAAGAGAACAAACACCTTCTACCAATTCTGCAGAGCGGATACTGGGATTCTGCTTTGCACTGACGTGGCCGCCAGAGGCCTGGACATACCTAACGTCGACTGGATCGTGCAATATGATCCGCCGGATGATCCTAAAGTAAGAATATTACGTTTATCTGTTTATTCGCTTTATGTGAAAAAGCAAATAATTGAACGATAAATACGGATTTGCGATCGGCGAATATACATATATAGTATCGAATTGTGATTTTCAGGAATACATTCATCGTGTGGGAAGAACGGCTCGCGCGGGAAGCACAGGTAACGCTTTGTTACTTTTGCGGCCGGAGGAGCTTGGAATGATTTATTATTTAAAACAGGCTCGTGTGCCGTTACGCGAGTATGAGATCAGCAATAACAAGATTTCCGATATACAATTACAAGTATATATACTTTACATATATTACGATTTTTTATCCCGACTCACTTTTTTATCTTCTCTTTGGATAAGTCCGAACTGAAAAAACAGGCGCAAGAAGCGCCCACGCGCATGATTCATGTCGCCGCTCGTTTTAGTAGAGTGAGTGAGATCAAAAAGTTTGTCTGCGACTTGATTAACATTTATCTCCGCGTGTCCCAGAATCGATATAACGCGTTATTACTTTTTTTTAGCTCGAAAAGCTGATCTCGAAGAATTATTATTTGCACGCATCGGCGAAGGAAGCCTTCAAGGCGTATGTCAGAGCGTACGACTCTCATCATCTGAAGCAGATCTTCGATATTGAGACTTTGGACTTGACAGCGGTCGCAAAATCGTTCGGATTTACCGTGCCACCGGCGGTGGATTTACGTATGTACTTGACATACGGATTTAACATTAAAAAAAATTACACCTCTTATTCTCTCGTACACGCATGTTCGCTTCATAATGGTACCAATTGCAGCATGCGGATTTGAATTTTAAAACAGCACGACTACACGCTTCTCTTTGTTCCTTCTTTTTATTAACTCGACCACGCTTTACAGAAGTGGGAGTGAGCAAGGCGACGCGGCCACGAAAGAGACTTGGCGGAGGCGGTTACGGGCACTTCAAGAACATGAACGACCCGAGCGCCGCGAAACAGCTGCGCCGCACTAAGACCTATCAGCAGGTAGGTAAGCGTGCGGGGGACAAGCGGCAATTCAGCAGATAACCATGTCGTCCACGCGCACCTTGCATGCGTGGATCGCGAACGACTGCATTGTCATGGCGCACGGATGCGTTCCAGCACACTCAAGGAATACGTCGAGAGATACGTCGGTATCCTCTGTTACACCTGTACAGTTTGCGTTCACAATTTCGACTTGGAAATACATTTTAGTGACGTTGGAGAAGCTCTTGACACCTCTCGATCTCTCACATTCTCCAGTCGTCCCGCCAATTGTCCTTCCTTCGATCTCTGTAAGTTTCTTCCCCACTCTATATCTCTTAACCAAAGTCTCTTCATATTAGCTGAACTAGGCTGAATTGAAAAAAATGAAATAAATATATTAACCAATGTTAGAGGGAGAATAAAGCTCCAGTGCAGTATTAATTCAGTTAAAAAGAACAGCCCTGCAAATCCGCATGAGCACACTGCGAGCTCACCTGAAACGAACTGTGTTTCAACAGGAACGTAGGAATCGTCGTTTGAGCGCAAAAGGAAGTTCAAGTACGAATATATAAAGTACGATTATGTGCAGAAAAGAGTATGCCATTATACTAACGGTCGCACACACTGCGATTCTACGTAGACAATCGGAATCTCGTTCATCGAAAGATAACGCACAGAAACGAGAAACAGCGAGCAAGGAAGGAAGGAAGGAAGGAATTGTCGGCGGACGCAGCACGACGGGAAAAGGCCCGAAGAAATAATTTATTAACGCGAGCGCGCGCGCTCGACACCCACACGGTTTTCACGCTGATGCCATGTATGGACGCATGACGTCAACGTTACTTTGCGTTCGCCGATGTGTGCGTGCATGCGCTCATTCGCTCGCACGCACGCATGCACGCACGCGTAGGCGCTGGATACGGCATAGAAGGTAAAGTCCGTGGGAGCACGCTAATAAGAGGCGGCGTGTCGGGCCTCCAACATGCCGTCGATGCGCCGATCGATAATCTCGCCTCGAATTCGATCCGCGGGCGCGCGTTCCTTCTGTATCATCGCCTCGCCGATTCGCCGCGGCGAGATTCATCGGCGATAGGTGATCGGGCGGCCAGGATCTAAGAATAGACGAATCTTGTAGTCTGGAAGTCGTCGCCGTCGCTGCATGTCGTGTAACCCCGTTTGATCCACCGTTCTCGTTTCTGGAACGCTGGATATAATTGGATTCCGCTCGCCGCAAGGGGATGCAGACCGAATTTCACGATTGATAGATGCATTTCGCGGTCGATCACCGCGAGATTTATTTACCTCGCAAGAGGTATTGGGTCTGCTCTTGTTAGCTCAATTAGCATTTTCGCCCTTTAAAATGAAATAAGTGTATTATCTAAGATTGCATTTCACAACGTTCTATGCGTTTGAGGAAAATTTCACTGAAAATTCAACATGTATACAACGTCCCCAGTGGCACGTAGTTGGCCAACGTTTGGTTACTTGTAGATTCTACATTGGCCGCTATAGATTCAACTTTGGCTCAGTGCTTTGTCGCTCGAGGTGTGAACTATAGATTTTCAGTAAAACTTTCCTCAGGCAGAACGTTTTTGGAACGTAACTTAGAATTGAAAAGAAAAAGATAACGTTCTAATCTCTTCTTTCCTGGCCGTTCGCTTTCAACTTCTTAATGTAGAATAGACTTTGAAACTCGGTGAGGTAACTTTTCCAGTTAGATCGCCGCGTTGTCGTCGTGGTCTTACGCCGACAACTGTGTAGTTTAAAGAGATCGCGTTTCTCAGAGGAGAAGGAAAGAAAGACGGAGAAAAGGATCTCGGTTAAGCATCACGCGAATTCCTGACACGCGTTCGCGTTATCGTTAAACCGCGCGTACACAAATCGCGAGAGAGGTGGCGCGCTCGCAGAATTTACCTTGTACGTTCACGCCTTGGGCATCTCGACGTGGTCGGTCGGCGCGTATCGAAAGCGGGTAGGTAGGCAGGCAGGCAGGGAATTATTAATTATGCATTCTAAGGCACGCCGCGCTCCGAGATCGTAACGATGTTGCTTGCGCGCCGGTTGATGTAATGCACGCCGATCTCGTTGGGAGAAAGACTGGTTGCGCATTATCCATACAGGATGTATTCTAAACGGCCCATTTCGGTTTTTCTTACTTCCACGCATCAAGATGTGTGATTTTCCTTTTCTTCTTTTCTACAAAAACATCGAGACGGTTGTACAACTCTCGCGCCGAGAGGCGAGTACGAAACAGCTCCTTCCGACCGAATTTACGCTTATTTACTGCCGTCTGCGCGAAATTGCGCAAAGCTAATTTTTCTCTCGAAACGCGCCGCGAAGAACGAAGGAACGTACGAATGAACAAGTGAGCGAGCGCGATTCGCAGCCAAGATTAAAAATTGAAATTCGAAACGCGCGTAGAAGATCGCCGGGAAAGATATTTGGAAGCGGCCCTTCGTCCGGTGCCTCTCGGCAGCTCTTTCGCGTGACTTTCGTGAGAGGCGATCTTGAGGGAGCGTTAACTCGAATCCCACTTAAGCCTGTATTAATAGCCTTTACTTAGAACTTGTCTCGCGCGAGACAATCAGATTTGAATTTAGAATTGAGTTTTCCATTTGAAACACACGATACACATGAGATTATATTTGCGAACGTAATTCCACTGAAAAACCCGTGTTTAACTCTTACTTGGATCGAGTGTTTCACTTGAAGGAAGTTTCAAGCAACGCCTATTAATACGAGGCTTAATCATTTCGCGGCAATCGACAAATTCATATTCAAAATGAGAGGAAAAAAAGAGCAACAAATTAATTCGCCCCACGCGAAGTCGAGGAGAACGTGGGGGTACATTGGCCCATGATCGCGGCCCTGAATTATCCAACTCTACGACGCGATGGTATGGCGCATATCTCTCGCTCTCTCTTTCTCCCTCGCTCGCGCTCATTCTCCTCTTAATCTTTCTCTTTCTCTCGTATTGCTAGCGCGTATGCAGAGCCGTATATGGTAGTGGGCGGTAGAAGCAAGTTGACAGAGAGAGAAAGAGAGCGAGAGGGGTGCGCGGAGGCAGAGGCGCGTGCGCGGGCATGCGCGACTACGTTCGGCTGACGTCGGCTAAACTCGGTTGCGCGCTCGACGACGACGCTGGCGACACTCCGCTGTGCCTGTCAGTAGAGTCGAGAGTCCCGAAGTGTGCGTACTTAAATCTCACGAGGCCGCGACTCGCATTCCGATTTGAAAATCGTATCGGAGCGCGGCCGTGCGGAAGAGAGACAGACGCAAACTCGCGACGCATATCTACGTACGCCCGCGCACAGACTCTTTCTCTCCCCCTTTGCCGTCTTGGCCGGTCCTTCTAGTTTTCTCTCCTCCTCCCAGTCTCCGTCGATCGTTCTATTTATCCTCCGTGACGCTCCATCTCTCTCTCTCTTTCTCTCCTTCATTCCCCTTCCTTCTCTCCCACGTTCTCTCTCATCCCCACCTTGTTCCTCCGTGGTGCTTTTCGCGATCTACCGCGCGCGCGCGGGCGCGTTCGCCAGTGGGACGTTTCTAAAAACGTAATCGTCAACTGTGAACCCGTGCGTGCTCGCTCGCTCGCTCTCTCTCTCTTTGGGAGAGGGATCATTGGGATTCTGGGAGCAGTAAAGACTAATACGCGGCGACCAACGAGGAAGACGTTGGAGGAGAACTAGCGGCCGAAGAGAGAAACGGAAGGTCCACGCGCGTGCGCATCTGACGGCCCGGTAACGAGAGGAGAAAACGAAACGCGCAGCCCGGCAACGCGTCGCTGCAAAAAAGGAACGAAACCGTGCGCGCGACAAGCGAGGAGGCGACTTTACGACTCTCCCGTAAGGAGTGTCGCTCGCCCTCGCGCGTTCTCTCTCTCTCTTTACTTTCCTTTCCCCGCGACTACCGCGGCACTCAGTACCGCCCCCACTCACGGACTCCTTGCGAGAGTCTTTCCTCACCCTTCTCCCAGTCTTCTCTCGAGTATTCCTTCTCCCACTCGCGACTGTGTCGCCGTCCCCTTCGCCGCGTTCGGTTCGTTTCTTTTAACGCTCCTTCGTTAGTACGTCTCGGCCGTCGCGCTTGTGTGCTCTCCTGTGATCGGAGAGGAAACTGACCGTCGTAGTCTTCGTCTGTCCGTCTGTCTACATCGCGCGACGTTCGTGGACTCGTGCGCGTTCTCTCTCTCTCTCTCCTCTCATTGTCTCTTGTTACTTCTCTCGCTCGGTATTTCCCTTTCTCTCTTTTTCTCCTCTCTCTCTTTCTCTCTCTCTCTCTCTCTCTCTCTCTCTCTCTCTCTCTCTCTCTTGTGTATCGTTGCGTGCCGCGCGCGTCCAACACGCGCCAACATTCGCCATTGAAGCCACCGAGTACAAGTTGCGATGTGTGATAATACTAACACGACGACGCAGAGTATAGCGGACTACCTGTCACAGTTGCTGAAGGATCGAAAGCAGCTAGCGGCCTTCCCTAATGTCTTCATACATGTGGAGCGTCTGCTGGATGAGGGTGAGTCACGATTTCTTTCCGTATAATTGCGTGCACATTTTTATCTTATCTCTATCTCGTCCCTCATTGTCGATCTTCGGACCGGGCGTCCTCGTGTCACGCGCGCGCTCAGGGCGAAATCGTGGATCTCGTTGGGTTTACCGGAGCGCTCGAGATTTCTGGGATACACGCAATTACTGCGTACATAGCATTGTAATAGCGATCGACGGTGCGCGCCGCGAAGTACGACAGAGGGCGAGACAGAGACAGACGTATCTCGGTCCACGCCATCTTGTAATATGGCTCCTAAAAGTGCGCTCATTCGGGAATATGAATCGCGCGAGTGTCGTCGAAGCGAGTTACGCGAGTCGAGGAACTTTGATCGCGCCATTTTGTACGAAGATACGTGTTCTTCGGAATATGCTAGGAAATATCAATTCCCGCATATCTTATGACGTAACTCGAATATTCGCGCGCGCGCGTTTTTCTGTCTTCGCTTTCTTCGAGGTCTCGTCATCGTCTCGGAATATCACCAAGTCGATCGGGTCGTTTAACGCTATCAGCGAATTCTTCGCCTTGCCTCGCCTCGCCGCGTTGTGAATAAAATATATATAAGGTGTCCCGGAAAAACGACCTAGTTTCAACGGGTGTTTTGCCGATCGGAGTACGCGAGCCGCGGCTCTTGTAGTATGTATATATATGACCTCCGCTTTCCTGTTCGTCCTTGAGTTCGCCGATTGTCGCCCGAGGAATGTTATCCGAGATCTCGTATGTTTGTGCGTATATTTGTCAGAAAATGACTCGCGCATAGCTTTCTTACATCTATTTCTTATAGAAACTGAACTATTCCGACAAAAACTTAGATTAAAGTTCAAACGAAGTTGATAGAAGCGGGGAATCGTAAATAAGAAGGAAGATCCATTGATTAAGATGTCACGGCATTAAGATGAATATTTCTGGCAGAAGGATGTAAATATAATTGAGTAGTTGGACGATATCTAATGTGGTCTTCGAGATAAAGTTATCTGGTGGCATGATCAATGTAGTGACAATCTTGAAAATTTATTTAATTTTTCCATTGTATTTTTGTACTTTTAGTATTATTATTTTAATATTTATTATTTTTTTAATCTATTTGCATTCTTTACAAAATATGTTTACATTTAGCTTGAAAGTTGTCCGAGTCCGCTATGAGATTAGTTCGCGATTTCATAGACCCGCGATAAAAGAAATCGAAAAATTACTAGGAAAATTCTTAGTAGATATTCTGCAAAATTTCCGTGCTGATTATTGAGAATTCTGCCGGCCGGCCGGCCGACGTTTCCCGCTGATAAAGACACGCGTGTCCCCGACATCGCGATTATCGTTAAACGATGTGACCGCGTGAACGATCGCCGACTTCAGCCCGTTTTACGGTACGCGCGCCGCGAAAGCGATACGCGCGCAACGAAACGCCCCGTTAAGCCGCGCATTATTGGCTTCGCGTACTGTCCCGCAGGACAGAGGCTCGTTAATTACTGATTAGAGGTCGACGAATCCGGCGATCTCTCAGCCCGCCAGCCGATCCAATCCAATTGGCCGAGATCCAATGTTCGATCTTCGCGGTATGATAACGAGCTTTATCGCGTAGGAACGATCGTCGTCGCCGGGAACTCCTCCCGCTAACAACATACGGAACACCTTGTGCACAGATAAACGCGTCTTCTTGCGTAGCCCCTTATCGCTCTTTTCGCTATCATGATGTGGCGCGTGTTCTGCGTCTGTCACGTGACCGACACGGCGTGCGCGAGACAAAAAACAGGTGTAACGTGAAGCGGGAAGGTGTTCTGCCGCGTTGTCGATGACTACCGTTGGATCAGCTGACAACTAATGATTAAATTAGTTGGCAACTAATGAAAGTAAGATACATATTAATGCCCGCCTCTATCAACGTCGACTAAATCTTAACTTGAATTTAAGGTCTATATTAACGTATTGATTGCTTGAAACTTGCCAAAGTGAGATATTCACGTTTCAGTTTAGACTCACGTTGCGAGTTTTTCAGTGGAATCGCGATTGCAAATATAACGCTTATATCATGTGTCTCAACTGAAACTACTCAAACCTAGCTCACTTCGAATATCTCACGTGAGACAAGTTTCGAGTAACGACTATTAATTCAGGCCTTGTTCAAATGGAATTTCAATTCCGATTGAATCAACGTTGGTAGAAATAGAATACAAATGACTTGCGCGTCGGTTGTGGAAAAAAAAAGCGAAAAATCCCCGACGACAAAGTCTCACTTGTCGGCGGATTTGCGGCGGGTCCCGTCGACGACGCAAAAATCGTTATCGCGGGAGATACGCGAGCGAAGGCGAAACGAATCGCGTAAATATGCGGAGAGAACGCTTGGAAACATCGAGTCAATTCTCAGAGACTCGGAGGAGATACAGCGAGTAGCATCATTCGAAAACGCCGTGAGGATGGCGAGCGATTTAATGGCGCGTTACCCACACTTTACCGCGCATCGTGCGCGAGAATATCACCGTGAAACGCGCACGAGAGCATGTTGCGGTAGATGGACGCGCGTCTTGACATTTATGACAGCCGCGTCGTAATGACGACGACGATTGTAAACGCTGGAGAATTTCTCCGGAACGCACGTTCGCTCACGATGGAATCCGACGTCCGCCAGGACTTGAGAGCAGCGCGTGTCGCCGCGCGCGCGCTGATGCGAAGATGATCTTTTATATATTTTAAGGGAGATAAACATTATGAAAAAAGCTCTTTTTAACGAGTTTTTTGTGACGCCCATAAAACAGATAGATAAATAAATGCTTTTGTGTTGAATTAATCATCTTTTGAACTGTTGAAAAATATTTTTCTATTTGGTGAAATACATTTTTATTTTGGTATAAAACGTGTCTGTAGTAGACTCTACACGATCCGTTTGCATCTGGAGTCCTTAAAAGTCATCTGAAATAAAAAACTCAAGATTTCCTTAAAGTATATGAATGTGTAGTTTCAGTTAAGCGTACGAAAACTTTAATATTTTAATTATTCGCAAAATAGCGCACGTTTAAAAAAATGTTCGAAAATCATCCAAAATAAAAGTACCGTTTTTATTGGCATTTTTTGGGGAAATTTCAATCGTAAAAAAAACCCATACGCTTAACTGAAACTACATTCATATACTTTAAGAAAATCTGAAAATTGGATTTTTTAAATTTTAGATGACTTTTAAGAACTCCAGGGCCGATGGAGCGTGCAGAGTCTACTACAGACACATTTTATACCAAAATAAAAATGTATTTCATCAAATAGAAAAATATTTTTCAACAGTTTGAAAGATAATGCAAACAACAGTTTGAATTCAATGCAAAAACATTTACTTATCTGCTTCATGGGTGTCACAAAAAATTCGCTTTTTTCAGTATTTATCTCCCTTAATATAAAAATTAGACAAAACACAATATTCGATTTAGCCTCGAGCCGCGGCGAAAAGAAGTGCGCGCTGGCGAATGTTTATTACGGGAGAGCTAGCGTATCTCGGGGGTGGTCCACTTGTTTTCGTGTCGTCATGCCGATGATATCGTCGTCTCATACCGACGACGACGATAACGACAACGGAATCGGGAGTCGCAATGTTCGCTCGCGTCTGAATTGCGCCAAGTACGCAGAAAAGACGCTGACCTCTCTCTGTAGCGCCGCAGAACCGCTTTTCTCGTGGGCACTCTCTCAGTGTATGCCCCTTTCCCTCCCCTCTCTCCCCCCTTCTCCCGCTCCCCTTTGCCGCCGACTCGATATACCGCTCACTAGATCTTCGACCCGTTCTCGAAGCAAAGCCGGGAGAATAGATTCGCGCCGCGTAAACGCTCGACTCGCGCCGACATACGCTTTTCTCTCTTCTCCTTTCGTTTTTTCACTCGATTTTTGTTCCTTTTTTGTCAATCAGTGTCGCGTGAATGTGTCGCGCGAACCGGCCGACGGTGTTGTTTAATAAACATCGTGTCGCACTTTATCACGCGAAGGCGCACCGCCGCCGGCCGTAATTGCAATGTTTCGCGATCCTCCTCCCCCTCTTTTCTCTTGCCGCGTCGTACCTTTACGTAATACACACAAGGTAGTGTGACGCGACTGTCGTTGCCCGGGAGGTCTTTCTCATTCGAGGAGGCCACGGCGACGCGTACACACAGAGAGAGAGAGAGAGAGAGAGAGAGAGAGAGGTTTCGCGCCGATCCGCATGAATTTCGCCAATTTTTCGCTCGTGTATCTTCGATTTGTCGAAGAAAACCCGCGGCGAATGTGCACGACGAGGAAGAAGGTAGGTACCGTTCGTTCGTGTAACATTCCCCTCGGGGAAAGGAGGCGGGGGGGGAGGGGGACTTCGCGTTCGCCCGCCTTTTGATATTCCGGTATTTTCGAGCGAACGAGATCCTCTTCTCCCCTCTCCCAGATTCTCTCCCGGATCGACGGTGCTTTATCAGGCGTGAGACGGGGGAGAGAAGGGATTTACAACTCGAAGGAGCGCGTCGAGCGAGGACACGACGCATGTGTTCGACTTTGGAAAGTCGGGAGAAAGCTGGCTCTTCCAGCTTGTTTTGTTTCGCACGCTGGAAAGCAATATTATGTGTACATTGCACATTTTGCCCTTTAGTAAGTCCGCAATTAATGATATACATATAGAGACCTCGGAATGGGAGCAATTGTCAACAAAGTTAAAAGATTCGCATGTGGAAACATAAAAATAGAAATCATCCTAATGTTGAGGCAATCCAACTGCTGGATCGAAAGATACGCGCAAAAAGAATTTCAGTTGGTACAACCAAATAGGAACCAATTGAAAATTAGGTAATCAGAAGCGATATCTCTGTTATGAAAACTAATATTTCTGTTGTCGCAATCGAAAATATTCGTCTGAACATTCAACGATATTAGAACTCGGTTGAAACAACTGAGAACAATTGACTATACAGAAGCCTTATAAATTTTTCTGTTCCTACAGCCGAGTTTTCATCTGATTCTTGAGCAACCGAAAATTC